CGCTCGTCTGGGGGTCGCTTCATCGCGTCTGCGAAGGTCCTAGGCTCGCCGAAGTGCTCCTGGTCCGCCTTGAACGCATTCTGGGCCACAGACTCGAACGCAAAATCGAGGGCTTCGTCATAAGACAAGAAATCCTCGCTTTCAGCGGAGTACACGTGCTCAACGCCTGCGATCATCGCGTCAAGCGAGCAGCCAAAGGCCTCCTCATGTCCATCTCCACGCAGGAAATCGAGTTCGTCGTCGCTGGAGGTAGGAGAGGGTGGATAGACAGGCTCTGGAAGCAGAGCAGGGCACCAGGTGGACTCAGTGGCGCTTCAATGAGGGGATCAGGTGACGGAGAATTGTGCTGAGCGTTTTGTCGCGTTGGCCAGGCTCGGGCGTCGAGGCAGGGGACTGAGAGTCAACTCTAAAACGCTGGGGCAAGAGATTTCGCCGCTGCAGTCATCATCATTCAGGGAGCCTTGAAAACGCGTAGAACGAGCTGGGAGTCGACGTGAAGGCGCAGGATATGGCCTGTATCCGTCATAGTTGTCGAGTTGACGACAAACTGCCGGACGCTGTGGGGCCGGCGGAGGCGCAGGAGGTGCAGGAGGGCTGGGCGAACGTGCCGGACGGTCAGGGGAATTTTCGCGGACGTCCTGGGGCGCAGGGAGCTGATTTTGCGGTGGTGGTGCAGGAGGTGCAGGATCATCAGAGTCGTCTCCCCCCTGATCATGCAGCTCTGGCGCATCAGGGACGTCTTCAGCGGGTTCGCCGTCGTCGTCCGCGGTCCTGGGACGTCGACCTCGTCGAGAGGGAGGCCGAAAACATTTATGAAGGGCGAATTTCCAGGGAAACAGCGTTCGTCAAAGACAGCATGCGATGAAATGATGAATTTCTTCGCAGCAGGGTCCCAGAATCGCCAGGCCTTGGTGCCCTCAGGATAGCCGACGAAAATGCACTTTCTCGTGTGCGGCTGCATCGCCTTGCGGTCCTTCTTCCGTACCAACACATAGGCAAGACAGCCAAAAATGCGGAAGTAGGAGACATCTGGCTTGCGCCCATCGCCTTTCCAGGCAGCCCAGGGCACAGCACCTCGCAGGGACGACGTAGGCATGCGGTTCCTCGTGTGGACGAAGGTAGAGACAGCATGGCCCCAAAACGACGGAGGGAGCTTCGACTGAGCAAGGAGGGCAGTCCCACCCTCAGCAATCGTCCTATTAGCCCGCTCTGCAACGCCATTCTGGTGGGGTTCGTCTGGTTCAGTGTGCTGACGCTGGATGCCATGCTGAGCGCAAAAATCGACGAACTGCTTGCCCATATACTCCCCACCCTTGTCGTCGCGCGTAGCCTTCAGGACGAGGCCTAGGGCGTTTTCGGCGTACGCCTTGAACACCTGGAACGCAGAGAATGCGTCGCTTTTGCGCTTCAGGAAGGCCACAACCCAGAACCTCGAAGAGTCGCAGATAAACGTCATCCAATAAATGTGCCCCTCCGGCGTAGGCGTCGGGAGAGGGCCCTTGAGGTCGGTGTGGACGAGGGCGATGCGGACGAATTTTCTGGACGCAAAACGAGGGATAGAGTGTCGATGCAGCTTACCAGCTAGGCAAGGCTCGCAGATGGGATCAGGGGTACGCTTCGAGCGGATGGTGAGGCCGGAAACGAGCTCCTTCGAGTGCGCCATTCGGAGATCGTCGAGGTTGACGTGCGAGCAACACTGGTGCCAAAGCGCGAGGTCCAGATCGCAAGTCGTCGAAGCGGACGACGCATTCTTCGTTTGAGACACAGTCTGGCCTAGCAGGTAGTCGACATTGTGCTCGTTAACTCGCGCCTCAAAGCGGAGTTCTCCCTCCTGGTAGAAAAACGCGTTCGCAGCCTGCAGCTCGACAACGTAGCCCTTCTCACGTGTGAGGTGAAAAACGGACAATAAATTGCTGGCAGGCGCAGGGACATGAAGGATGTTGTGCAGTACAACAGCTGGCGGTAAAACTCCGTCCCTCTCCGCAGGTTGAAAGACCACAGACCCTAGTCCAGCCGAATAGACGACGTGCGAGTTGGCGAGGCGAATGGGGATGGAATGGGGAGAGTAGGAGCGAAACCAGTGGTGGTGAGGCGTCATGTGTGCAGAAGCACCTGTGTCGGTGTTCCAGTTAGCTGCTGCAGGCGTAGAAAGCCAGGAGGCGCGATCCGAGGTGGATAGGAGGGCAGAGGCGCAACCAGCACTCACAGTGGCCGCTCCAGCGGACTCCTGGGACGCATCCTGCGCATCCTGGACGGTTTTTGACGCTTCCTTCGCCTCCCTCGTCTTGTCCTTGCCCTTTCCAGAGCGAAACTGTGTGCGCTGCGACACCTTCTCCTTCGCTTTGACACTAGCATCGCGTTTGGAGAAGCACTGCTCCTCGGAGTGGCCAGAGCGACCGCAGAAAGCGCAGATGATGGCGGCAGCGACCTGGGAGAGGACAGGGATCGTCGATAACACACCAGGCTGATTTTCTAGGGCGACAAACGTGTCCTGGAGCTTCTCAAGCGTGAGGGCGTCGTCCAGCAAGAGGGTCTGGCGAAGAGAAGCGAATTCGGCGGGCAGGGCGCGGATTAAAGCCACAGGACGAGCTCATGTGAGTTTAGCGATGTCGAAGTCCTGGGGACGAAGGGCTTTCATATCGGACTTGAGCTGCGAAGCTCGCGTCGAAAGCGTCGACAGGGACTCGTCCTCGGCCTTGGAGAGGCTCAGGAGCGCGTTGTAGGTGTTAAAACGCGTACCAGGTCGTTTCTGCATGTGCACAGACTCCAGCTTCAACCACATCGCCTCAGGATCGTCCCTAATCGCCTCCAGATGCGTCTGCTGCTCCCTCTCCACACACCCCCAGATCTCCCCAGCTGCCAGGTCCCTCCTGTTCTCGAAATCGCGCATATCTCGGCGTTCTGAGGCGTCCAGGGGCTGAGTAAACGAAGGCCTGGTTTCTGAGCCCTTCACAATGCGAAGAGCTGCAAGAGTGCGAAGTCTAGCCTCCATGTCAAGCCTCCATTGCTGATAGTTGCGATTGGTGAGCTTTGGGAAGGAAGCAGGGGACGGCGCCATGATGACGACTCGAAGGGCGACGTGCGGATGGATGGATCGAGCGAAGAACGGGGTAAAACGGCACAGAGACGAGCGAGATATCAACCAAAGATCGAATAGGAGCGAAGACAGGGGCTTAAAAGCGCAGGAAGGCTGAAAGAGCGAAGGGGGACACCTTGGGAGGGCCACAGAGCGTTTGGACTGGCGGATATGGACGTCTGGAGGCCTTCAGAGCGCGGGGCTCATAACCTGTTGGCTGCAGTGCGCCTCAGAGCGAATTCCAAAGGCCTAAGTCGAGCTCTGTAAAGTCTTTATATTCAGGAATCAAAGATACACACCTAAGTCGAGCTCTGTAAAGTCTTAGGGACTTAGAGCTCGACGAGGCGGACTGTCTACGGTGTGCGTTACGTAAGGCGACCATAACTGTACAGCAGAAACAGCCACAAAGTCGAAATCAACGAAGCAGTGAAAAAACGGATGAGTGCAGGGGTTCAAATCCCTGAAGATGCAAACATTATGGAAAATGGTAAACTGAAGGGAATGACGTCGGAAAAAGTACAGTATGCACGGTATAGTGATGGCGTCCATGTAGAATAAAGGAGAACACACCAGGACGCATTCCACGACTTGGACAGGGCAATGGAGCTCAGAATGATTCGCAGAAATGCGGAATAAATTCCGAGCTCAACAACATGTAGGACGGGTAGCTCATAATGACACACCAACCTTGTTCGTCCGAGTCGTCCTCGCGGTGTTCCTGTTCCACAGCCGTTCTTCTCGTAGATCGATGCACAGACACGCTCAATAGATCCGAAGCTTGTCACAGAGCGGTATGAAGACTAACGCACAATAATACATTGTTTATAAAGCTCACCGGATACCACCTCTGGTCGCTTAGAGTACTCGGACGGTTCGAACGGCTCTTTGCAGCGATCAGAAAGTCGCAGAAAAGTAGTTAATATATTTTGAACATACCTGCCACATTGTTGGAGTGCTCATCTAGACCGCCGCTACCTCTGTCACCAAACTCATCCAGTGAGGGCTCTTGCAGCCGGCCTAGGAGGTTCTGAAGCGGTTGCAATGAACTTGCGTGCGCTTGAAGTAGTCCGCAAACCTCTTGATACTCCTCATCTGAGAACCATACAAGCCTGCCGAAGATTGCATTGCCGGTTGTGGATGCATTGACGTCGGTAGTGCTTGTGTCAAACATAGTGGCAGGGTTTACTGAAGAGGGAACTCTCGCTACTAACAAGCGCCTCGAACTTGAAGCGCGGTCTACGAATGTGACACCCATCCGAGATGTACGGGCCCAACGTATACTAGTATTCAAAGAAATAGCTACCAACTACCAGTATTGCATTAATGTTATACGACACTGTCTAAGTCCCGTTGTCCCCCGTCCAGCCTGGCCGGGAGGGCGTCTGTCTACCCAATCTAACACGCGGTGGTGGACGGTCTGCTTCATGCAGTCCACCAAGGTGCGAACCATGGTCTCCGAGTGTGTTAGGATCGAACACCGAGATATATGATTTAGTCGGTCGCGAAATTGAGGATAATCGGGGTCGGCCAGCAAGTCGCCGGCCTGGCCGTAATTAGGGACATGTCGTTTTGCAAAACTGACAGATGGTTAGTGTTTCTCAGTCATAAGGGGGAGTTGCACACTCAATGATCCACTTGTTGTTGGACGGACCTAGCCCGGGAAACGCATGCAGGTCGGGGTCTTCCCAACGTGCGGCAACCACCTTGTTGAGCTTGTAGCAACTCAACGAAAGTGTTTGCAGAGACGTTACCATGCGGTCGATTTGGGTAGGCTGTTCCGGTTTGTCGGGTGTGCCCTGGTTAAGCTGTAACACCTACGACATTCTCAATTAGTATTTTATCAGTTTGAAGTGCCGAAGACTCACCATGTACGTCAAAGCCGCGATAAAATCGGTCTCTGTAGTGGTGTTGTTGGCCACCAGCCGGTGCACAAGCCTGAAATGCTCGGGCAGGATGAGCACATAGGTTAAGTCCAGGGGGCCATGCATGGCCTGGCAACCCAGGGCCATGGGAGGACAGGCGTAATGGGGCCATCGCACCCGCACCTTGGCCAGGTTGGCTGTGCTGGCAAGGAGGGCTACAGGGTGTTCAACCTTTTTACGTCGCCGTCTCCCAATTGATGGTAACCTCCCCAGGAGTTTTTCCCGGTGCTTTGAATGCATCCTTGAGGGCCCCATGAACTTGCATGACCCCCAGGAATCCTCCTTCTTAACCCGTCTCTGGTGCCCGTGCCTTTCCTCATCCTCTCCCTGATCCCCTTCCCCGTGCTCGCCCTCCCCCTCATTCTCGCCCCCCTCGTCCTCCTCGTCCTCCTCGTCATCCTCGCCCTCATCTTCATGCCCATTCCCGTCCTCCTCGTCGCTCTCCTCAGCCTCCGCAGCCATGGCAGCTGCAGCTGCCGCGCGATCGCGAGCCGCGAGCTTCTGCCACTTCTCCACCACCTTCTGGGTCGGTCTCTTCGGCTTGCTTCGCTCCCGCACAAAGCACAGGGAAAATCTGAGAACCGGCTGCAGGTTGCGATGGAACATGTCGCGAATCTGTCAAATTTGTGATCAGTGGTAGTACTCCGAGTCATCTGTTTAGAGATGAAGTCACGTCACCCTAGCCCTCATATTCGGCCAAGGCTGGGTGGCGATGATTTCGTCCAAGAAATATAGATGGCCCTTGTGGTGAAATGTCTTGATGTACGCTGTGTCCGGAACTAGGGCGGGAGATTCACCCATATGATAGGCGGACTGAGCGGAGAGACAAGCTGATTGCTCAACCTCCGCCCCATCCAAGAGCGCATATGTGCTTGATCGACAGCGGGCTACCACCCCTTCGTGAATAAAGCCAGGTGCTGAAAAAGCCATGGGTCAGTCGTTTCTCAAGGACGGTGCTGATGTAGAGGGCCAGGCTCACCTTGCTCAAGGGACGGCCATACCCCATCACAGTCAGACTTCTCTTCCCACAGAGCACCGGAGAAGAGAAGCGCATTCACAGCGCATATGCGGTGTGTTCACAGCATGTTGGGTGCTGGTGCAGCCGCTTTAGGTCCGTAGCAATCTATCATGAACATCAGAGATCTCATTGCGCGGCATAAGTACATATGAAGACAATAGAACTACTTGAATAACACGCCTCTGCTAGCCCCGCGTGCGAAGTACGGAGCTTGACCCCACATGAGGCGCCAAAACCTTCCCTCTGTGCCGCAACCCGCTCCTGCACTTGCCGCACCCCGTACTCCAGGTGCGCACCCAGACCACAAGCCGTATCCGCACTGCAATCCCGCAGTTTCTCCCGAACACGTGTGTTGATCTTGACTTTCTTTGCCCACAGATAAGGTTGGGCAACGTGTTTGAGATACGATTGGACCATCCCCGCCAATTGCTTGCAATCCCCTCCATGGCTTCGGGGAGAGCCTCTCCCAACCCCATTGGTATGGTTTCCGTGACCCACTGCAATTTGCAGTGAGTATCCATCCATGAGCCCATTAAACAACCACTAACCGTGAAGTTCCCCCCCTCTGCTTCCCAATCTCTCAGGTTCTCTGCCTCCTCGACCCTTGCCAGGAACGCCGGGAACTGCGACCTCATGTACGACAGTATGCACACCTCGGGGCGGAAGAACTCCCCGGGAGGGAAGGAAGCCCGCGGGGTGAAGGATCGCGACGGGCTGGATGGGCCAGTCGTGCCCCGCTGACTGATATGCACTATCAGCAAGCCCTGCAGGGACGGCAGAGACGGGAGGGCCATGGCTAGCTGACCAGGCATGAGTTGGGCGTAGACGTCAGTTGTGATGGAGGTTTAGCTAACCTTCTTGGTTTCATACAAGAATTCTTCGGCACTCTGCGTGAAGATGCAGAGCGCAATTGCAGTGTCCCCTGCGGCAGGCGACTGTGCAGAGGTGTTGATGGTGGCATGTTGAAGGACGCACTCCAGATTAGGGTTGCTGATGACCGTCCGAGAAACAAGCGAGGGCGACGTCCGAGTGTGCCCGTTTCCCACAAGACAAAAGAGGCTGCATATGTCGGCCAGGAGGGGCACCGCCAGGTCTTCGCTGAATGTGGGCGCGCGCACGGTGAGGTGCTTCCGCCTCGGAAAGAAGTCAATCCTGTGGGCAGTGAGCACGGCGTCCATTGTGCTCTCCTGTTACTCACCTGATAAATCTCAGAAAGATGCACCATCGTTTGAGGTCGCCTTCAGGGCCCTCCCACTCCCAGCTGCTGTCTAGCTGCCGTTGCAGCATGCGGTAATGCTCCTCCGGAATACTCTGGATGTCCTGCAAGGTAGCTGTCAGGAGATGGGCGTAAATACAGCACAACGGTCTTACTCACCTGTGTTACAACGCCACAATGTCCAGCACTCGCCCATTTGAGCCATAACATCCATACTTTGTCGTAGTACCCAATGAATCTGAAGAGATTCGCGTCTTCAAGTTCTGGGGTCGCCGAGTGCAAGAACACCACGAACTTGTCGGTGTGCGGCGGGGGAGACTCCACCTTCTGCGCATCGCGGAGAGAGCGACTGGGAGAGTACTGTGTGACGGAGGTAGCAGGGGACAGGGTCGGAGTTCTATGAGGCCCGACGTCGGTGTCTGACCATTCATTTGAAGTCTTGGAATCGGAAGATGGTGGCGTGCCACCCTCCGAAACAGGGGAGCCTGAGCAAGCAGAGTTGGGTCGAGATTGGGACATGGTGATGTTTGTAGGGGGGTGCGGCACGCAATGGTTGGGCAGGAGCGGAACATCTAATATGAAGCATGTGAATCGGTCAATCGGAGACACAAGCCGCATCCATATGAAGCACTGCAACGGCGTCACTCACACATTCACTTGTAATCTCCACATGCTCGAACTTCCTTACTATCTTGAGGGGACACAAGTTCACATTGCGTCACAGGGAAGATCAGCGCGAATACTTGCGACCGACTTGCCCTCAGCATGCATCTGAGAAACAGCGGAGCAGAGGCCATCTGGGTATGCCCGGAGCCCGCCATTGGCAGCCGGCGCCTGGCAGCGGATTCCACACTTGCCTAAAATGGTGTTTGGCAAGGTGCCGGCCAAACACCATTTTGAGTGTGGCGTCAGCCACTGCACCTAAGTTACAAGGATGTGAGTGCCAATCGCGTAGTTCCATTCTAACAAATGAGTGACTCACCGGCTTTTGGACAGTAGTCAGTGGGTAGTGGGTAGTGGGTGGTACGTGCGCAAGAGTGCAAGTGAGTTGCACTTGTGTATACGCATACCAAGTCTGCGTTATGATTACAAGTCCGTTTCATTCCATGGAAATCCAGACGCAGTTTGCCTGTTCCTTTGCGTGGCTCACTCACCGGCATACAATCTTAGTTTAATCCCAAATGAGGGGGTAAAAACCATGAAGGTGAGTGGTGGGAATGAGAGTCGAAACCCGAACAACAGGAGGTAATATGCAAGCGGCGGCGGCCTTACCTCATTCGCCGCTCCCTTGACACATTAATCGGTTGGCGCCGATTTGCGCGGCCTTACGAAGTGCTGGGTAGGCGCTGTCAACCACTTTCCATCCGCATCCACGTATTTTTTTAGAACTGTTGCAGGTGAGTTGCACTATATTGTAGATTGTTGACGAGACTTACTGTCATCAACCGCATACCAGCTTTTGACATGGGGCGGAACCACAAAACCGGCCGGGTACCGTTCTTGTCCCCAGAGGATGCAGAGGACCGGACCTGTCCGGCCTGTGACAGACCATTCGACAGCGCGCAGGGAAAGAATGCGCATCTGAGCACGGCGACCTCCTGCCGCTGGTACAGAAAGGGAAAAAACCGACAACCCAACCTGTATGACGCCTCAGACGACGATCTCGGGCCCACTGTCTCAGATGCTGGCTCTTCGGATAGGGAGGTTGACGTGGGCGACCTCCATGACGTGCTGGAGCATCGTGATCTCTTTCAGTTTGTACTCCCTCCATCCACGTCCAGCTTACCTGCGCACCAAGGCGAGGCGTCAGGCTCTGCAGGCCATTCGTTGCCGATTCCCCAGGTCCCGGCGTTGGACGATGATGACGATAGCAGGGTGGAAGAAGAAGACATGGAGGCTGGAGTGGTCATTCGCATGGAGGAGACGGTCATGGAGACATGGAGGGCTTACTTTGGGGAGAATGGCGAGGACGAAGCCGAGGTTAACGAAGACCGGATGGACATTGATGGCGACGATGGTCCGCAAGGCAGACCGCAGAACAACCCGGATCTTGATCAACGTTGGAAGCCTTTCGCGTCCGAACTCGACTGGCGGGTGGCGATGTGGGTCATTCGCGAAGATGTGGGCCAAAACTCGTTGAACAGATTCCTGAAAATACCCGGAGTAAGTTTCAATATCCCTAGTATGCCGGTTGCAGATGCTTACTGTTCTCTTGCAGGTGGTTGAGAAATTAGGGCTTACCTTCAAAGACGTCAGGGAGCTCTTCATAAAGGTTGACGATATACCCGACAGAGCGGCATGGAAGATGTCTAACCTAACTTTTCCCGATCGGCGTGACGAGGAGCATATCGTTCGCTATCGGGACATTATTGAGGCCATCAAGGCGCTGCTGGGCAACCCATCCTACGCCAAATACATAGTTTATCGACCGCGCCGCGTCTTCTCTGACCGCTCAAAGACCAAGTGTATATTTACGGAGATGTGGACTGGTTTTTGGTGCAATGCAGTACAGGTCAGTCCTCGAAGCAGCTTTCAGCAAAATATCTAACACATACCTTGCAGCAACTTCTCCCTGATGGCTCAGCCGTTGCCCCCGTCATCATATCCACCGACAAAACTCAGCTCACCCAGTTCTCTGGCAACAAGTCAGCGTATCCGGTCTACCTAACCTTGGGCAACATACCCCGGTCTATCCGACGCAAACCATCTCAGCACGCCTGCATTTTGCTGGGCTACCTTCCGGTCTCAAAAATCGGAAAGACGGGACTCACCAAACGCGAGCACAGGGCTCGAGGGCAAAGGCTGTTCCATGCGGCCATGCGTCTGATCCTGAAGCCGCTCGAGCGAGCTGGTCTCGAAGGCATAGAGGTCACTGGAGGCGATGGCTCAGTGCGCTGTGTTCACCCCATCCTAGCCGCCTACGTGGCGGACTATCCCGAGCAGTGCTTGGTAGCATGCTCGAAGTACGGAACGTGCCCTAAATGTCAGTGTCCTGCAGATAAACTGGAAGAAAAGAAGGCCGCTGACCCGCGCACGCCCGAGACTACACAGAACGTTGTCAAAGATGCCTTGCAGAGCGGTCGCAGCTCGGCCGCAGCCCAGGCAGCATGCATGGAACAGGGCGTGAGCGGGGCCGTCAAACAGCCATTCTGGGCCGACCTTCCCTATACTGATATTCACCTCTCAATTACCCCCGACATTCTACATCAGCTCTATCAGGGGGTCTTTAAGCATCTTGTCTCGTGGTGCCAGGACCTTCTGAGCCCTGATGAACTCGACAACCGACTTCGCTGTCTACCCCAGGCGTTCGGTATCCGGCACTTCAAGAACGGAATCTCCTCCCTAGCCCAGATCTCGGGCAAGGAGAGGAAGGAGATGGCGCGTGTGCTCCTGGGATGCCTCATCGGCAAAATCCCCAAGCCCGTCATGCTCGCCTTCCGCTCAATCTTGGATTTCATTTACCTGGCTCAGTACCCTACTCACGATGACGATACCCTGCAGTATATGCAGGACGCCCTGAATACCTTCCACAAGCACAAGGGCGTGTTGGTTGAGCTGGGTATACGGGACGACCTGAACATACCGAAGCTTCATTCCCTCCTCCATTATATCGACTCAATTCGGATGTTCGGCACCACGGACAACTACAACACCGAAATGTTTGAACGCCTACATATCGATTTTGCGAAGGACGCCTGGCGCGCTTCGAACCACAGGGATGAGTTTCCCCAGATGGTCAGATGGATCACCCGTCAGGAGAAGATCGCCCTCTACGAGGCTTACCAGAATGAGTGTCAGGCGGATGCGGATGAGGGCGCAACCGTGGACGAGGAACTTGAAACCTCTGAAGCTGAGCAGCACGAGGATAACGCAACCGGAGGAGACCGGCTGGAGGAGCTCGTGGACGTAGGGACCTCCATCAAGATCGCAAAGTATCCACCTTCACCTCAGCAGCATCTGGCTCGCATACAGGAACAACACAACTCACCGGGTTTTACGACCGCGTTGGCGCACTTCCTCAATGATCTTCAACCGCCGCAGCTACGTCTCAACCGCCAAGAGTTCGCAAGGACGTACCTGCCCTTCGATCGCGTGGACGTCTACCACAAGTTCCGTTTCAAGCCCTGTGCCCTGTCAGATGGCAAGGAGGAGGAAGACGTGGTCAAGGCCGTTCCAGGAGCCATCCGTCTTGGAAGGAAAAACCGTTTTGACACGGTGATCGTGCTTGAAAACGAGGAGGCTGAATCGACTGGTGTCAGAGGTGAGAGGCACGAGCTGTTGTGAAATTAACGTAGGAGGGTGCACTGACCGAGCTCACAACAATAGGTACAAGGGCGGCGCGGGTGAAAATCATATTTACCCTGCCCAAGAAGCTTCCTGTTTCTCAAGGCGGCGGGCCAGCACCCGCGTGGTGGCCGCAGGAGCCCCTTGCTTATGTCGAGTGGTACAACCGATTTGCAAGGGCACCGGATCTAGTCCATCTCATGTACGCCGTGGGCAAGGCGCCGCGGCGGGCTGACGGTCTACCACAGGGGAAAATCATACCTCTGTCGCAGGTCCGTCAGTCATGCCACCTCATACCTCATTATCCAGTAGGGTCTCAAGGGGCGGTTCCTGTGGACTGGACTTCGGAAAACGTACTGGAAAAGGCGGCGAGTTTTCACCTTAATAACTGGGGCGGAACATACGCCTACCAGACCTTATGGTGATCACTGATGTCATCTGAACCGTCCCCGCCTCTGTTTCCTCGCGTTGCAACCTAATATCCCTATCACATCAACATACACAAAAATTCGGATGGTTCATGCCTACCTGTTTATATACATGCGCTGTGCACAGCGTACAATCTCCGGGCCCTGTGAGTGCAAGCGCCTAATGGGGAGCTTATCAGGCGCTCATTGAGCGCCTAGATGTGGCTTTCTTTTCACTTTCTGCACTTGCGCACCACTTCAAACGACTTTCAACCACTCTCTCACCGCTCCCAACTGCTTCATTATGGCATTCTCGCGCATCGACTCACTCCTGATCAACATACTGGTTCAAAATGGCCTCCCGTCCTATCAAAAGATAACCCGAGGCTGCACGAGGCAATGCCCGCACGGAAGCAGTCTGAACCATGTCACGGTCGTGTGTCTGGAGAGGGAGCACATCGGAGAGCTGTTCGATTTCGTGAGTGTCCGTTTCTATGTGCAGGTGCGACGTGGCTGATGTACTACAGTGCATGATGCACGAGAGTACGGGCTGTACCATGGTACGGTGCCCGGATTGGTGGCAGCCCTCGCCGGAGACGCAAAGGGTCATCCTGGACCAAGTCCACGAGTCGTACTTTGGGCTTCAGGGGCCTTTTAGGATGGGTGGGTGGGTCTACGCGGGGGCGTTCGAGGATTTCCACCGGAGTGACGGGGGAGAATCCCCAGTTTGTTGCGGGTGTACCGCCCGGAGGAGGCTCCCAGAGTGGCGGTAGTGGAGACGGTATTCATCGTCTCGGTACGTCCCTTACACCTCATGTCGCCTCTGTTTCTAACGGAACTTACCAGGACTTCGATGACCGGGTGTCCGTTCCCCTCCTGTGCAAGGTGGACGAGACGGGACATGAGATGGAGATTCCCGGTCCCGCCGAGCAGCCTCTGCTGCTGCAGATGTTCCCGGGGCTGAGCCCGTGGAAGCCGTTGCCCCGCACGGGCCTCGGGGCCGCAGGATTCGACCTCTACGACGTCAGAGGGCAGACGTTCATCCCGACGGCCACGCTCCCGAACGACGTCTCACCCTACACCTCCCCCTCCGCCACATCCCCACCTTCAAGCTGACCAACGTCAGTGTAACCTTCCGCACGAGCGACCGCGCCACGGGTGCCGTTGCTTCCGCCCCTACGTGCTCCATGAAGCACAGCTTTATGCAGCAGCCCTACGTCTGGGCGACGGACTTGCCCGTTCCGCGCAAGTGCGTGGCAGCCGACTGGACTGTGAGGGACTTCGGGATGCCGCTGGGTGTCGTAGCGATGCGCCCCGGGCCTGGGGAGAATGGATACGGGGTGTGTCGGGCCCCGTACTACAACTGGGAGACGTCCGAGTACATTCACGTTTGACGGCCGGGAGATTCAGGTTACGTGGAGTCCTTCAAATGTACTATTAGTCCTCATCGCTGTGTACCATTTTTGTATTGTGTTTGAGCCCGTATACACAATAACATCGTTTGTACCACCTACTAGCCGTGCTGCGTGAGCGTGGGCGCCTCAAAACAGTCTTAGTGACCGCTTCTTTAGCGCTTAAAGGTCGCTTTCCTTCAACTTGCGAACCACACTTACGCTTCACTCACCACGCTCAACCGCTTCTCGTCTCAATGGCTGGCCTCGGATTTGATAAGAGACTCATCAGCCTACTCGCGCCCGTACTCCCGCCGTTTCCAGTGGTCGCAAAGTCGACCGCCATATGCCCCAGCTTAGAGAAAAGCTTGGAGGTGTACCATCTCACGGTTGTATGCCTGGAGAACAGCAGGAGCAACTTTGGCAAGCTCTTCGACTACTAAGTCTTTTAATCTTTGCTTTCGACAACTACTGACGCCCTTTAGTGTCCATCCTACCATGGGACGGAGTGCCCGGCCATTCTGAGCAAGGTGCAACCGGAACGCGAGGTCATGGAGGAGGTTTGGCGTCTTGCGCGAGACATGGATCCTCCCGCAAGGCTAGGAGGATGGGCGTACATGGGGGAAATAGTGGGTAGTGGGCAGGAAGCGGTGGTCCCGGGCTTGCCGGCCAAGGAGAAAGCGATTGTCGAGGCTTTGGTATTCTTCAGGGTGCGTAGTATACCTCTCACTGAGCGCAACAAATTGACTAATGTTTGAGATTTATTCAGGAGGGGCACACGCCGATGACTCTGCCGCTCGTAGGCTACATCCGCAAAACCACGGGGACCTCGAGCTGTCCCTATCCCAACCCATCTTCACGCAGGTTTTTGGCCGCCTCAACCCTCACAAACGACCATCGGTCAGCAAAGAAACTGTCTTCAATATTGACCGCTACAGCACTAGATACAAATCCTACGTGCCGGCTTCCACCAGACCGCACCGTTCACCAGTCATCCTTGCGCTCCCTCTGGAGTCTGTCCCCGTCTTCAAGCTCAGGGACATTGTCATCGCCACGTCCGCGCCGGACTACGCCCTCGGCTGCAAAACCGACTTTTCACCCATGTGCGGTTTGAAGGCGTCCTTCATGGACGGTGAGTTCATGTGGCCCGCGGTCTACAACGTCCTCCCTCGTCAGTACAAGACCGTTCCCTGGCGCGTCCGAGGGAAGGTGGCAAAACCGTCTCCAGACCATGCAGATGAAGCGCTCCGTACGTTCGGAGATGTTGCCGCCGTGAATGACCAAGCAGGGTCTGTCGAGGTGGAGCAGCCAGAGCCGGAGCTCTGGCTAGTGGAGGGCAAGGTGGAAATACCGATATTTTAGATGTATGAGTAGTATGCCAGTGACCACCCTCTCAATCGCCATGATGACACTCGCCTCGTCACACTTGCCCCAGTGTTGATAGCATGTGTAGACAACTTGAATGCTATATTTTCTGTACCTCACGAGAGAATTTGTGTGAAGGGCTGCAAAAACAGAGGGGTTGATTTGAATGTGCGTGTTGGCGATTTGCTGGTACAAGTGTTGGCATCTTCAATGCACTTACAAAGTTAATGCTCTAAACCGCAAAGTATTCTCAATGCTTGTGAATTTGACGAAGGCCGTATAATCACTTTCGATGTGTCTACAAATATTACAAGTACTTTACAGCTACTCTGCAAGCAGCGTTTTGCTTAGGAATCACAATGGAAGTACTTTTGGTAGTTGTGGCGGATTTGGAAATTCACCAAGCGCTTGGGCGCTCAAAGTGTTTTTCCTGATGCTTTGTACCCAGCAGGTCCAATCGGCCAAGCGAGTCTCGATGTGGCTGTTGTGACGAATGTACCGCAGGTACATTGGCCTCCGCAATGTCCGGCATCGCGGTAACATGTCGGTTACCTGTTCGCACTGGTACCTTCTGACGGTTCGCCACCTCTGGTTTCAGACGTGGTGGGTCGGGTACTTCATGAACTTTCGGTCTATTTTTTGTAATATCGGGTACCACGTCCAGATTCGGACGTGGTATCGATTCTTTCATTGCTATTTCCTCCAAGGACTCGACGGCGACGTCGATCCCTGTTGAACCATATAGGCGCCCACCGGGCTGCCGGGTTCCACAGGCCGGATCGCACTGCACGTGCTAGATCCGCACTTACCGCATAGAGCAAGTCATGCGTGGGAATGGACTATACAGTAGTATTAGTCAGCGTCTCTCAGATGTATATAAGACCCACCAGTAGCGTAGCTCTCTCTCCAGTTCCTTCACCACGAAGTAACTTGTGTGCCTCAAGTATACAACCTTCAAGCAGGTAAGTTAGAGCACGGTCCACTACGTGTGACCTAGTCTGCTCAACAGGTTATGAGCCCCGGTCGACGCCTGAGTACTGCGCCTTAACGGCTGCGACTCGATGCGCACTGGCTTACCTGCGGCATCGCCCTCACGGGCTTGAAGCCAGGGGGAGACTATGCGCGGAAACACTGCAGGTCTCAAGCGCGACTCATGTCGCTGCTAAACCCCATGAGGACACTGAGTCCATGTGTGTGGACAGCGCCTTTTGGGTGCAGTCCGTTGTGTGACAGAGTGCTGACGTCGCCTTCGTCAAGCAGCTCTTCAACGCTTCCCCCGTTTCACACAACTATCACAACATGTCCAACGCTCTCCTCAACATGGTCCCCGTCCTCGACGGCTCCAACTACGCCAAATGGTCGGAAGCCATGAAGTCCTACCTCCAGAGCCAGGAAGTCTGGTTCATGATCGGACAGACTCTCCGAGTCGGTGAGCGCCCGACGCTCGAGGAGGGCGGCAGGAACCGTCAGGAGGTCTTTGCGTGGACCCAGGCGGACGAGAAGGCGCAAGGCATGATACGCCTGCGCCTCAGTCCCTCAGTCGTTCAAATCATCAAAGATAACGACTCGGCGAAGGATCTCTGGGATATGCTGTCGACGATGTACAGCAAGCAGAACGCTGCCAACCTCTACGCGTCCTTCAGGACTGCGACGACAGTGCGCGTTCCTGCTGACCAGCACCCCGCTCCTTTCCTCGCCAAGATCATCGACGCTTGCAAGAAGCTCGAGGACAACGATCTCAAGCTCCCGACGCGCTTCTGGCCATGATGGCCCTGAATGCTTTACCGTTGCGGTACGACAACGTCGTGCAGGTCATGCTGCAAACGACGGACATCAAGAAGCTCAAGATCTCGGATGTCCGGCACGCCGCCAATCTCGCCTTTGAGCAAGGCTCGGGCAAGAAGGCGTCTTCTTCGCACGACGTGAAGAAGATCTCGGCCGTCAAGCGAAAGCAAGGCGAGCCGAGCTTCCAGCAGCAGCAGCAGCGCCATGACGGCGGCAGCGGCAGCGGCGAGAAGGCCGACAAGGGCAAGGGCAAGCAGCGCGGTAAACGCAGCGGCAAGAAGACCCGTGCCCAGAAGGACGGCGGCGGCCACAGCAACGGCCACGACCACACCCACATCGCCTGCAGGCGTCTGTGGCTGGTCCCTCTACGTCCCACGTCGTGGACATCGCGCCTTCGGGCAGCAAAGTCCGCACCGTCAAAACACGTGCGCCTGTGCAGAAGCGCCCTATGCGCAACTGCCAGCGATGGCTGCAACGCGCCCTCAAGTTGGCCGAAGAGGTCGACGTGTCTTCTACGGTCGAGCACCTCAAAACGCTCACTCAGGTTGTCGACAACTCCGCGCAGATTGAGGACTACCTCTCTGATACGGAGTCGCGTGCATCCAAGCGCGCTCGTCTCTCCGACGACGACGACGACGACATGGCCGTGAGGATCGATGAGGTGAACGCGGGTTATAACTCGTACGACGACGGCACCTGGGCTGAAACCCAGGAACCCCTTAACTGGGGGTTGGACACGAGGAGGTCAACGAGAACGTCGACGAGGACATTGCGATGGCCGCCGGCCTTGATCTGGACGAGGACGCCAGGTCAGTACCCTCATCTTCATATTCCCAGCGACACACTAACAATGCGCTACCCACAGCCGCATGTAGTGTACCATCTATGTCGCGTAGCAAACTAGATCACAGTAGTTTGCTACATAAATATATACATTGTCGTCACGCGCGAGAATTTGCTGCGTGTTCAAAATGTAAGGGAAAAAGTAAGATTGAGAACATCCTAGAGGGTGGCAATGACGCCTACCCTGATGGAGACCCAACTTGGATGTTGGACTCTGGTGCTTCAATGCATTTTACCAACCGGATGAGTGACTTCGCTGAAGTTGAGGATCTCAGCGAACCCATCCTGGTACAGACTGCGAATGGCACGGCCCGCTGCACGAAGCGCGGGACCGTCTTCATCAATTTCCTAGGTGGAGACGGTGAGATGATTACAACTCGTCTACACCCCGTCTATTATTTCCAAGGTCTGCATCAACGGTTGTTGTCCATGGGGACTTTCCTCAAAGAAGGCATGACTGTGCGCGGTGGTTCGCAGCACATCGACCTCTATGAGCCGGGATCGCGGGATCCACTATATGTATTTAAACCGCTGAACCCAGGTGGCTCTATTTTTGGGATTTATGCTGCATCTTCTGGGGAAGATGCGCAAAGTATCCACAATACGGTCTACACTGTAGACTATGAAACTATGCACCGCCGTTTTGGGCATCCCTCAAAGGATGTTCTTCAGAAGGCTGAAAAACACACCGATGGTTTCCCTCTCAGGGTTGAGTTCCCTACGGAGGATCCTGTGTGCCCTGGATGTGCAGAAGGGAAAATGCCCAACAAGGCTTTCCCGCCATCCACAAAGCGAGCGACAGAGCCCTTCGAGCTCATTCACAGTGATGTGAAGTCATTCCCGCTTGACTCCTACCATAAGTACAGGTACTACATACTGTACTATGACGACTACACGTCCCACGCCTGGACCGTGAATCTGCGCACCAAAAGTGCTGCGATTTCGTCTACGCGGCAATTTCTCGCCATGGTGATAACCCAATATGGCAAGAAGGTCAAGGGATGGATGTCGGATGCTGGAGGAGAATACAAGTCTGATGCGTTTGACAAGATGCTGAAAGACGAGGGCATCAAGATCTTGCAAAGCTCGCCGCACACTCCTCAGGAGAATGGCAGAGCTGAGCGACTCAACAGGACGATAATGAACAAAGCTCAGGCTATGCACCTTGAAGCATGTCTACCTGAATCCTGGTGGGAATTTGCGGTGAACCACGCTGTCCATGTGTACAACAGGACACCATCTCGTCGCCTCAAATGGCTGACACCATATGAGATGTTGAATGGCGAGGCTCCCACCATTAGGCACCTACAAGTATTCGGGTGCGGCGCATACGTCTTTATCCCCAAGGACGTGCGCAAGAACACTCTGTCTAGAAAGTCAGAGTTAATGACATACCTCGGTGTCGCCCCCGGAGGTCACGGTGACTTGTTCATGCGTGCACCAAATAATGTGCTCTATACGTCGTCACATGCGTTGTTCGACGAGAGTATGTTCCCAAAATGCCCCAGCATGAAGCGGCGGGGTAATACTAGGCTGCAAAGCGCACCAAAACATGACCACAAAGCGGGTCACCAACCCACTTCTCAGGAGGATTCAGACGATGAGGATATCTCTCGTCCCTACCACCTTCCAAAGGGAACGGACAATGAGCGTGACGATGCTCAGGAGCAGCCAAAGGCGCCCAGTCCAGTTCCGCCGCCACAACCTTCGGAATTCCTGCGCCTCAGGGGCAGCGGAAATCAGGTCGTCAGCGGAAGCATGTAACTCGCCCAGGGAACGTCTACGGTGAAAATCGCAATCCCGTAGATCAGTACAAAGAGATTGAAAAGAAGGGGCAGTGGAAAAAGATTGTCGGAGAAGGGTCGGGTAGCGCCCGCCCTAACCCTCAATCAGGGTCGCAGCAACAGGTTCCCGGACCTAGCGTGCCAGAACCACAGCCAGACCAACCTTCTGGATCTGCCTCGGGCTCAGACGAAGAAGTCGAGGAGTTACTCATGGCACGACTATGCCGGGAAGGGGGAGTAGGAATGGTCAACATGCTGCTTTCATGCGCAATACCATCTGTTGAACATGATTCTCCAGTGTCCAATCCACGTGAATGGACATACCGCGATATTCTCAAGCTACCCAAAGAGGAGCAAGAGAAGTGGAGACTAGCGTGTCGCGAGGAGTTAGAGGCTCTACGTAAACACAATGTCTATGAGTTGGTAGACCGTCCTAAGGGACGTAGGGTTACCAAAAACCGCTGGGTCTTCGACGTCAAAACTGACGGTCGTAAAAAGGCTAGACTAGTCGCAAAAGGCTACTCCCAGATTGAAGGCCTTGACTATGATCAGGTCTTCTCTCCCGTCGTACACTTTGAGACCGTGTGCCTAATACTCGCGCTAGCTGCGCTCGAGGGCATGCACATCTCCGGACTCGATGTCCGTAATGCGTACCTCTATGGTAAACTCGACGAGGAGATTTACATGGAGCAGCCTGACGGTTTTAAAGTCCCAGGCCAAGAGCACAGAGTCCTCCGGCTACTGCGTGCTCTCTATGGACTTAAACAGGCGGGGCTTGCGTGGTGGTGCACCCTCAATGAGTCCCTCAAGGAACTTGGCTGTGTACGCCTTGTATCCGATGCCGGAATATTCATCTACAAGACAAAAGATGGGAGGTTCGTCCTCATCATCGTCTATGTGGATGATGCCCTTTTCTGCGGAAAAGACAAGGCCCTAGTGGCCGCTCTAAAGAACCGCTTCATGAAGAAGTGGGAGTGTCGTGACCTTGGCGATGTCAAGGAATTCCTGCGAATGAGCATTACTCGGAAAGGCGACGAGATTCATCTCGACCAAACTGCCTACCTTGAGAAGGTGCTTGAGCGCTGTGGCATGCAGAATGCTAAATCTGCGCCTACTCCACTCCCTGCGGGCTACAAACCTGAGCCTTACACCGGCACGGTTGACCCTGCACTTCGAAGTCGGTATCAGACTGTCATTGGCTCCTTGCTATATATCATGCTTGGAACTCGCCCTGACATCTGTTTCGCCGTGACAAAACTCGCGCAACATGCTGCGAACCCGTCACAGGACCACTTAGATAAAGCGCTGTATATCTGCCGCTATCTAATTGGAACCAAGTCCTATGCGCTTGTATACAGCGGCAAAACTGGACAAGGTGTCTCGGCGTGCACAGACTCCGACTGGGCTAACGACCCGGAGATGCGGAGGTCTCAGAGTGGCTACTTTATGAAGTTAGCTGGTGGAGTGTTCAGTTGGCTGTCTCGACGGCAAAAGACGGTAGCACTGTCTTCAACTGAGGCTGAATACATGTCGCTCAGCGACTGCAGCTGCCAAGTCGTATGGATTAAAATGCTCCTCGACTTGGCCCACTACCTATCTGCTCGGATAATCAAGGAGTGATATTCATCGGCTCCAACCCTGTAACTGAGAGGCGGTCGAAACACATCGACATACGCTATCATTATATCAGGGAGCTAATTGAAGAACGACAGGTCAAAGTCTTCTTCATTGGCACTGACGATAATCCGGCAGACCTCTTCACCAAGAACTTGGGCCGTGTCAAGTTCCAAAAGTTCAGAGGCATGCTCGGACTTCGATTCTACGATGAAGAGTCCTAGAGCAACCACGGACGGCAGCCCATGGTGCCAGGATATGCTTCGTATGTCAGGGACGTACTTAGCAAGGGGGAGTGTTGAACCATATAGGCGCCCACCGGGCTGCCGGGTTCCACGGGCCGGATCGCACTGCACGTGCTAGATCCGCACTTACCGCATAGAGCAAGTCATGCGTGGGAATGGACTATACAGTAGTATTAGTCAGCGTCTCTCAGATGTATATAAGACCCACCAGTAGCGTAGCTCTCTCTCCAGTTCCTTCACCACGAAGTAACTTGTGTGCCTCAAGTATACAACCTTCAAGCAGGTAAGTTAGAGCACGGTCCACTACGTGTGACCTAGTCTGCTCAACAATCCCCTCCCCCCTTGAGACCATAGTCCCCTCCTCAGCGAAGCAAGACTGGGGGGGTTGCACCACGGTGGATCTCGCCGCGCAACCCTATTGCTTCGAGGATGACACGAGGCAGAGCTGTGCCGTCAGTCGTGCACTCCGTGTATCCCGCCGATGTTCCAGAACTTCCGCTTCCTGTGCCACCGTGTAGGCCGGCACTGCCACCCCATCAACCCAGATCTGGTGGGTGCGGAAGTCGAGGACCACGTTGTGCTTGATGCAGAATGTGGTTCCCAGAACGATGTCGTACCTGTTGATGTTAACTACATCCATGTAGTTGACACTGTTCATGGGACTGACCTGGATACGGGGGCGTGCTCCGTAGTTGATGGTGGTGCGACTACCCTTCGTACCTAGTTGTAGATTGAGGGGCTCCCTCAGATCTACCCGGTCGGCCTTGGCCAGGAATGCTAGTTCCGGGGACATGGCATCGGTCGTACACCCTGTGTTGAACAGCGTGTACGCCTTCACGCCATTAACATTGATCTCCGCACAGAGCGTCCGAGTCGCCTCGGGACTGCGTTCTGGCTGGTCCGCCGGCTCGGAGGTCCTTCGGATCTTCGAGTCGTACAGCCAGGCCGCCTTCATAGTGCGGGCTGGCGGTAGCATTTGTATCGCGCTCATTCGAGTAATGTCTGTCATGGCGGCATTATACGATGGGTGCGCCAGGTTTTCCTGGCTCACCCGAGTCGACGATCGGCGTTCCACACGCATTGCTTGGAATGTCATGAGCCCGAGCTGTGCTACCGCTCCGTCCTCATCGTCATACTCGTCCACAGGAGACTCATCTCCTGGATCGTTGTATGCGTATTGTGATCTGCCATACTCAGATTGAGGATGGTCGGTTACATTCCCATTGTCGTAGTCTGGCATGTCCACCATCTGGTCGATGTGCTCGTTGGATTCGGGCTGGACATGGACGAATCCATCATCCTGGTCCTCCCCACTGTCCTCCGCAATTTGTGCCGCATACATGCGACCCGTCTTGCTGGGTGGCATTCTGCCACCGTTCTTACACTTCTCCTTTTCTCGAGAAGTGTGTCCGGCATCAGGAAAAACTCCCTTGTCTTGACAAGTATTCTAAGTACTGCATGTCTTGAAATCTATAAAGTACTTGGAAAGACAAGTCATATGCTTGAAGTACCTGCACAAGAGAGCCTATGCTTGAAGTTAAGATATCTTTTGTGTCTTCAGACTATTGATGTAGGATTACTCTACATGTCTTGATGAGCTTGCAAGACGTACATGATAATGTGCTTATTTCAAGACATGTGGACATTGTCAATCAACATTTGAATCTCCATGGCTCTCAAAAAAATCTGTGTCTTGTCGTAGTGGGCAACTTCCACAAGTATTGGAACCCAAATTGAGATGAAATTGATAATATTATTGCGCACTGCGCATGACATCACAGCATAGGTAATTGTTAGAGCAGTACAGAGCGTGTTATACAACATTACAGAGCAACATAAAAAATGTATCACCTAACCGCCTTACGAACGACAACTGATGATTGACCAGTGACCAGTGACCAGCAACATGTCACTCATGTCGAGAGAATGTCGAGAAATGAGACAGACAGCTAGACGAATGCCGACACGGATGGCAGGACGGCGATATGGACGGAGATACGGACGGCGGCACGGACGGCGACACGGACGGCAACATGGACGGCGACACGGCGAGATGACGATACAGCAATTGACTATAGAGAGACGAGGAAGTTGTGTAGATGCTGTAGTAGATAGTCTGACGATTGTTCAGGCGCTGATCCAGGATGTACAAGAATGAGAAGATACTTACCTTGGCATGCTGTGCTCAGGCGTCGGAGAGTACGTGGGAAGCCTCACGCCCAGCTTCTTCTTCATTGACCTGAGGCTCGACTGGGGAACAATCGTTCATTGTACACACATACTATTGACAGTGATGCACTTACCCTCAGGCGCCTTCGACGTCGTCGTCTTTGACGACGGTGGCTTCGACGATGTTGGCTTCGATGACGACAGCTTCGACGATGTCGGCTTCGAAGACAACGGCTTCGACGATGTCGGTTTCGAAGACGACAGCTTTGACGATGGCTTTGCAGCCTTCGTTCCGGTGGCCTTAGTGTTGCCAACCTCTACATCGCTCCACGCGATGAACTGCTCGCCAGGGCTACCATCGTCAGCGACGTCTTGCTTATCCTTCGATCTCAAGACTTGCTGCTCATCGATGAGTGCGCTGGACCAACATTGAGATAGACTCGATGTTTAGAAGGTTAGTATTAATGCCACTTACCTGACATTGGTCCACATCATCTCCTTCAGAGCTTGGTACGCCTCCGATGCGTTGCTTTCGAACTGATCCAGGATGCCCATGATGTTGATCCACCTACTCACACGTGAGGGAGAAACACTACGCTAGACAGACTGTTACACTCACTTGGCCGCATATAGCTTGTTAGAGAAGTGGTGAGTCCCTGTGGCTATGTCCACCAACGCCGCCTCGATCTATAAAAGAATTGTTCAGTATTACAGCCGTCCATAAACTAACGTGAACAAAACTTACCGCATTGCACACGAGGGCTATGAGGTTGTTCGGAACCTCACTGAACCGATCGTACACTGCGACTGACGCAGTGTCCCTGTGTCCATGGAACCAGTGCTGCACAATGACGTCAGACAACACCTTGTGCTGGAACGGTTTCTTGCGGTTCACGACGCTCGCCTGTGGGGCCCTTCAAGAACAAGCAGTAAACATCCAAGATGACTGTACATACCTTCATGTCGACCTCGTAAGGTTCGTCCGACTGCCAGGCGATGTCGATTTCGCCGAAGATAAAATTCGGCACTGAGAATTTGCCCTGTGTGTTCGACTTGAGGAGGAATGTTGCGGCTGCGACTCTGCGCTGCGTCGAGAGGCTTCCCAGGCTGTAGGCACTGTCGACCACAATCTTCGCTTTCTTCTTGACCTCATTTTGGAGCTGAGACGCGCCTGTCCACACCTGCAACAAGACTCAGTTCGTTTGATGTGTCAGGAACAAGGGACTTACAACACTGGCGACGTTCTCGCGAAGAACGTGGTTGTGTTTCTTTTTCAGGGTCTTGAACCCTGACACAAGGTAATCAATCTTCTTGCCGTCCTCCGCGCGATGGCGGCGAGCGTCCTTCAAGGCCCTCTTGATGACGAGGTGCTTGTGGGGCAGCTGACTGCTGTTCTGCGTCTTCTCGGAGGTCCACGCGTGGTCGAGTGAGAGGCGGAGGCGGAGGTACATCTGTGAGCACGTAACAATAGGCTTGAGGGTCTCCGGGATGTCCCTGGCCTGCGCACGACAACGACCTTCGGACTTCTGCCCGGCCGCGCTGCTGCTGCTACGTTTGCTTCTCTTGCCTTTGGACTGCCCGGTGTGTAGGTTGCGAGTCTCCCGGGTCGGAAAGAGACCGGAAGGAATCGATGGTGTCGGTAGAAACGACGGGTGGGGGCTGTTGGCAAGCGGATGGGAAGGGGATGTGACGATTCGGTCCCGGAGGGGACGTACGAGCTCAGATACTCGTAGGCGGCACTGTAACGCGGTCGGAGGAGGGTGGTGGAATCATCCCACAACGCAGGGACTCGGGCTGAACGCGTAGAAACTCGTTGAAGCCGGATGAAACGCAGAGAGCCGGAAGGAAACACGGTGCTCGTTGAAGGTGAACGCGGTGATCTATTCGCAACGCAGTAAACACAGGACGCAGTCAGAAACGCAGGGAATCGCAGTTGAGCTCGCTCTCTACTCCTAGGTGGTAGGTAGGTAGGATCCCCCCTCCCGGTCCCCGGCTCCCTCCCTTATGTTTTCTCCGGCTTGCTCTCCCACGCCTCCGCCTCGCTGGCACTCCTCCCCGTACTTCCCTGTTCCCTCCGGTCCCTCTTAAGCCCCCTCCTTCCCTTCCTGTACCGTCTCCCGTCCAGCGCCATGCCCTCCGATGCCCCAGCCAACCCCTCCGCCATCATCTACTCTACCCGCTTCTACCGTCTTCTTGCTCTCCTCCGGGATGAACAAGTCGTCGAGCCGCGTCTTGTCGCTGACAGTCCTACCGAATGGTTGGCCTGGGCCCACGCCGCCCGCTGGATCGTCGTGGGTGATATTCATCTCGTATATTCTCCTTCCGGCGGGCTGACGCTCCTTCCGGTGCGTAGCGCATGCTCTTCGACTCCCGGGCGCGAGCTACTGCGCATGGCGACGTGTCCCTCCCTCTCATCCGCCGGTTCTCCGACGTCCAGGATCTGATCGACTACCTTGACCAGGTGTTCTCGACCATCGCGTCCGAGCACAGCGTCGTTGGCGAGCCGTACCCTGCTATCGCCTGGTCCGCCAACCGCGTCGCTGTTGAGCAGTCCGATGTCGAAGTGGGCCGTCCGTTGCTTCCGGTCCGGTACCTCGAGAGGCCCATGCAGCTCTCCCCCCTCCGGGCTTCCTCCGACAGCCTCGACGCGCTCATCTCCCAGCTCCAATGTTACGCTAGCGTTCAACGTGACGTGTCCGCCTCCTTCCAGTCCGAGGCTCAGCATACCCGCCGTATTCTCTCCGGCCTGGCGTCCAGTGTTGCCGGCGTGCACGATCGTCTTTCGCGTGGCGTGTACGTTCCGGACACTGACTATTCCGGCATTCCGCGTCGCCTTCAGTTCCCTCCGGCGCGTACTAGTGACGATTTTGAGGATGCGGGTGTTGAAACCGAGACCGAGACTGATTTGATGGATGAGGGGGAGAGTGTGCATGAGGAGTAGTTCGTTCCTGTACCCTCCGGTGCCGTCCAGGGCTGCCTCCGGTTGCCCTAATGAGTTGCTTTCCGGTTGTGCTGCCTAGGTAACCTATCCTTCGACGTCCCTTCCGTGTGTAACGCCGTCTGTTGTCCTTTGTAGTTGTTTGCCTTATATCCATTGGTTCCGGGCCTGCTCTGTGGGGCTTCCCACACCGGCCTTACTCTTCGGGGCCTTGACAACCTGCAGAACTTCATCGACAAAGCAGTGAATGCGGGACGATTGACTTACGATCACTTCATCCTCACTGTCCTCATCCATCGCCTCGTCCTCCACGTCTCTGTCTTCCTCCGAATCATCGTCGTCGCTGTCGCTGTCGCTGTCCGAGTCACTGTCCGACTCATGGTCTTCTTCCGTATCGTCCGCGTCCGGCTCGGTCTTGTTCTCCGACTCGGTGTCGGTGTCCAACCAGTCACGCTGTTTCTTCTGCTTCTTGTTGACCCTCGTACCCTTGCCCTTGTTCTTCTCAACCGCTGCACCCTTGCCCTTGGTCTTGACCGCCGCACCCTTGCCCTTGTTCTTGTTGACCACCGTCTGCTGCGTAATCTATCATAGTTTGAGATGAGTAAATAAAGATGCACTCACCTTCACCTTTTTTGGAGGTGAGTCAATGACAACGGCGTCCATGCGCCACACTTTCTTGGCTTTGGCACGCTGCGTGACATTAGTGCGTTGCTCTTCGTCGTCTTCTGACCCACTGTCCCCATGAGCATGGTTGTTTCGCTGCCTTGCCTTCGGATTGTTTTTTGACGTTGCTGACGACGATTGAGGCTTACCTATGATGTTGCTTGCAGATTAGCTAGGAACCTATGGGAGGACCCACATACCGAGAGCTGTCGCAAGGTTACGCTCGTCTGCGTCGAGCAAAGTGTCGCCCCGGTCATTCTTGGCTTTCTCAGGTTCGTTCGCCGGCTTCCAACCAAACGCAGGCCTTGGTTTAGGTTTGGCTTGCATACCACTTCTGTTAGTAGTTCGATATACTTATTAGCTTGTGTAAAAGACTCACGGCGCGGAGGCAGAGGTGCCTCTGGGGGATTATCCACATCGTTTGCATTGCCCACCTCTCGCTCTGGCTCCACTCGCATCTCCTCCTCTGCTTCCGCTTCCGCCTCCGCCGCCACCTCCTCCTCCTCGACAAGCTCGTCCTGTTCTTCATCCTCGCTGAGCCTGATCTCCACGTTCTTCTTCACCTTCTTGCGCCTCAGTTGCTCATCCTCATCCTCCTCGTCCTCTGCGCCAGACGTGTTCTCCTCTAGCAACATAGCTGTGCTCGTCCTTCGTACGTCTGTTGTGAGTTCAGCATTCGTTTCGTGTCGTCCATCCCAATCAACGTGAAGTTGAGCACTCACTGGATCGATGTTCGGCCGCCGCCTGCTTCTCGGCCTGCTCCATCTTCGCTTTCAACTTGTCGTACAACCGCTTCTCGGACGGGGACAGAATGTCGGGCTGGGAGGTCTTGCCATTTCTCTCTGGGGTTTCCTGCCTGCCGCGCTTGGAACCCGTGGCGCCCTTCGATGAGGCTTTCGTAGCGGTGGAGGACTTCTTAGCAGCCGGCGCTGACTTTACAGCGGCCTGACCAGTCTTAGCCTTCGTGGTCGGCTGGCCGGTGGGCTGGCGTGCCGCACTACGGAGAGACTGACGTGTAGCCATTCCAAGGTGCAGTACGTTCACTGAGAGCGAGCGGTGGTGAGTGTTGACGGAACAGTGAAAAATTTTAGATAACACACCGTGTGAGCGGACTCTGACTCACCGCTGGATGAGGTTCTCGAAGTCTTCCGTCGGTCGTAGCGGTCGCGCGAACTTCGGAGGATGATGGAAGCCAAGTGCAAGAGCATCGGAGCGCACTGCGGGCATGAGCACATGAGACTCGCGGCTGGTCGCGGTTCTGGAAGCCTTCGAACCAGACAGCGTTGTTAGTGTTAGCGCTGAATACAATCTATACAGTTGATCTACGTAAGCACTTCAAGATTCACAACACTTGACAGGCGAACTTGAAGGCTGAGTTTCACGAACTCGGGTATATTACACAGACGGTCTACCAAGTGTTCCTGAAAGTCCTGTGGTATACTTCGAGCCTTGTCGTTCTTTTGCTGGAGTTCATTCATTGAAACGGTGCAGTAATTTTGAAGCACACAGGCGCAAAAACAAACACATACCGTTAACAAATTTGTCATTGACTGCTACTGTACAAGCTGTGTCAACTCACCGTATTTGACTGTCCGTAAACGCACGTCTGCTACGCATTCACACATGGTAACAGGACTACACCGCGATACGCAGTGCTCAAGCGGCGGTTTGCAACGGCGAACCACCCCATCACATCGTGGAGAGCAACGGCTCGTAGACTCGACCTCCAGCATGGAATTGGTGGCTGCTGCTGGGCTGTTACCTGACGCACAACAGTTCGGTGCAACCCAGATCATTGACGATGGAGACACGAGCGAGGGAAGGCAAGGCGGAGGCCACAGTGCGTTGACGGTGAGCGGATGCGGAGGAACTTGATGCTTGAACATCAAACTGCGGTGGATGCTGCGGTGGATGAGCGACAGTGAGCGATCAGACCCGCCGAGTATGCACAGGTGCGCGTACTATAGAGACTTATTATAGTACTTACATAGACCGCTGCTTGATGACGATGGTCCCGGGCGGCTCTTCCTTCGCTGCACCATCTGCGCCCGCTGTTCCCGAACTCGTTGTCCCAGAGGTCGCGCCTCCGCCCCATGAGCCTGTAGCCCCGGTGCCTGGCGCGCGCATTGCTGATGCTCCCGCGCCTGAGCCTCGCTGATCTTCTCGTCTTCCCATTCCCTCCCAACTGCACGCCCCTTCACTTCGCGGGTCGACCGCACGTTGGCTGACATCCGCACTTGTACCTCCTGAGTTCCGCCTGAGTTAACGATCCGCAGGGTCCAGCGGGAGGTACGGAACGTCCCAGAGCAGCGGCTGGCCGGCGCGCCTCGCGACTTGAGCCCCTTCTTGATCCCGTCCTGGTGCTGACTGGAGAAGGCGGTGAAGATGAGCTCCCCGGCGTAGGGGTGCCGGGGATGGACAGGGATGGAGGTGAGCTCGGTTACGAGGTCTATCGTGGATTGTATATTGCTGAGGTCCAGTCTGCAAGGCACGCTTTGCATATACATGTTGAGCGTGACGGCGACGAGGTCTACGCTGCCTGACCGCTCACCGTTCCCGAGAAGACAGCCCTCGACTCGGTCGGCACCGGCGAGCAGTCCGAGCGCGGTCGAGGTACCGCCTGCGGTAGGTAGTGGTGCGTCCTCTGGGAGCCTCGCCACACGCTTTGTTGTGACCATCTCGGTGTTTCCTCGTGCAAGCACGGACTAGCTCGTCTTGACGCTTCAATCACAAGCTTGCCGTCGGAGGCGCCACGGTGGGTTGGCTACGGGGCGTGCGTTGTTCTGCATAACCCGGTAATCGGATGATTTGTCTTGCAGGTTGTCCGAGCGAGAGGCGTAGAATTGGTAGAGCGCTTGAGGCCGGCCATTGAGAAAACGAGAAGCTAGACACGAGAAACGAGACATAAGAACAGGGCCTAAACGAGACAAGAAACGAGACTCGAGAAACAATCGAAGTCGCAGATCACGTGACCACACCTGGCGCCCACAGGCTGCCTTCAGTCTCGGAAGTGTAGTTGCATATTTGAAAAAGTGAAGCGAAACGAAAGCAAAGAAAACACGGCCGGGTTCGTAGGTATCATTAATTTATCAGTGGGGCCCACATTAGAACTACTACAATAGTAAGCCTACTGGAAGTGATTGCTGGAAGCCCAGCCATTCCGACGATCGTTCTCGGTCCATTTACACATTTCCCTGTCTGAATGTAAAACAATGGAGGCACGAGTTCCAGTATAATGCATGTTGTAATGTGTGATTTTGCACGAAGGAAAGACTGCAAAATCACCGTGTCGAAGTGGAATGACAAGGCCTGGCTCCACAAGACACAGCTCACCGCCATCAAATTCGCCGATTGGCAAGACGAGGCATACGCCGTCGTCTTTGCTATCTCTATGGGCTCGAGTGACGACATTAAGGTTGACCACAAGTCCGACGAACGGGCTGACCACTGAGATGTTATTACCAGGTAAAATAGCGGCCGTTGCTTCAAGTACTTCGTATTCCCGGGGCAAGAACGTTTGAAGCTACGGCCATATACATTACCTACCGGCATGTTGTGATTGACAACTGAATTACTTACCTGGTCGTCTATGAAACCAAACACATCTGCGAAGACACTTTTGAGGGACTGATAGATCGCCTGGTGGTCTTCCATGTCCCTCGACATGTACGGTAGGAATTGACCATGGTTGGTACGTGTGCAACCTGCTCTGCTCAGCAGAGACGGGGGTATATCAGCAGGCGCAGCATGTCCCTTTGAAGGAATGACATCATAAGCATAGCTCACCAACTGCAGATCGCTGACAGTACTGGCCTGGGTACAGTGTCGATTATACCATGAGAAATGTATTGCTTGGAATGTACGTTCACCGGTCGCCGAATTTGCGTCAACTGTCTTGAAGGGGTCTGAATTGAAGCTTGCAAGGAGACAATCGATTAGGGTTGTTTCATGGTATCTGGCATCGACGTGAAGATGCCGGCAACCAACGAGTGATCCTGGCCTCGAATGGTTAGGACATCCCTGCCAGAGAAAGTAAGTGTGTGAACAACAAACACGATAAGTTACGCACGGTATCATGTTCACCGGCACGCGAATGTAAGCATTTGGGTTAGCTCTCTCCCCGGCTGTGTACGCAGTTTGTAGCTTGGGTAAATACTCGCAATTAGCCACGTCTGAGTCAAGAACGAACCACTGTACCTGAAACTCGAGCTCTTGAAGACTTACTGGTGCACTGGCTTTGCTAGCATTGAACGTGCGTTCTCTGTCCATGCTATGTTCTCCTCCTTGTCACGAGGGGCTGGATACCGTCTGTTCGTAACGGTTTGATAGTCATAGGATGTGAGAATGACTTGGCCTAGAGATGGAATTGGTTCGGGGGCGCAACTAGTATGGCGCGAGGGCAGACACGGTGACGATAACGGAGAGAGAGACGATAGCGAAGACAGAGGAGATAGAGGAGAAGGGGGTGGGGCTGCTCGAGGTCCATCTAGTGCATTGCACGGGTAAACCCCCAGGTGTCTGGGGGCTTACCCGTACCCGTACCCGCCCGGGTACCGTACCCGCTTCACGGGTGCGGGTCACGTGCGGGTACCGCGGGTCTGCGGGTCCATGCGCGGGTGGGCGAGCGAATAGGTGGGTGAGTGGGGTAGTGTGCAAGAGGGTGGGGAGGCTTGCGCAGGCGAGCGGGCAAGCGAGCGAGTGTGCAGGCAAGCCGGTGGGTCAACGGTGCACCCGTTGTCCTCGCTGCCATGCCCCCACCCTCCATCCTCCTCGCTCGCGGTCCTCCGCACTCGTGCTCGCGCGTTCCTGCCATCCGCCCGCGCGTCCCCCGACAGCTCCGCACCCGCAGACGGGAGCGTCCACATGCTTCCCGTCTGTACGTGCCGCCCGCCCGCCGTTCCGCCTTGTTGGTGTGCCCACCCTCACTCGTCCTTCGCTCGCCCGTTTGCCCGCCCAACGTTCATCGGCCATGTCTGCGTGCTGGGCATTCGCCCAGCACGCTCGTGGCCGGTATGCGTGTGGTGCGCGTCCGCACCGTGTCCCCGTCCGTGCCAACTGGCGTGCCAGCTCGTTCTCCCGCCTCGCGGCGCGCACGTTTGGTGGCCGTGTCTGCGCGCCGGGCATTTGCCCATCGCGCTCGCGGTTGCCGTGCGTGTCGTCGCGCGTTCCGGCTTGCTCATCCGCTTGCTCGTCCGCTTGCCCGTCCGCTTGCCTGCCCGCCCGCCCCTCTCCCCGCCTGCCCGCCCGCCCCTCTCCTCGCCTGCCCGCCCACCTTCCCGTATTTCTGCTGACCGGTGAGCTCTCCCATTTGTCCGCTCGTCCGACTGCTCACCTAGGCGTTCACTCTTCCGCGCGCTCGTCCGCCCGCCCGTTTGCTTGCATGTGCGTTCGTCGGCCGTGTCTGCGCGCTGTGCACTTGCCCAGCGCGGTCGCGGTTGCCGTGCGTGTCGTGCTGCACGACGCCGCGCCCTGTGCCCACCCCTCCCCCGTTTGTCTGCTCACCTACCTGCCTGTTGGTCCGTTCGTCTACCTGCCCGCCCGCTCGACTTCCCGCTTGCTGCCCGTCGTCCCACCTTCCAGCTCCCCGGCGAGCTCCATCCACTCATGCACCCGTTCACCCGATCACCAACCCGCTCTTCGCCCACTCTCTTGCAGGCCCCTCCGACTCTGTGTCCACACCCGCAGCCTACGTACCTGTCCACAGGCTCGCTAGCCCACCCGCTAGTTTTGCGCGCGTTCGTCGGGTGCGTTTGCGAGCTGGGCAGTTGCCCAGCGCGCTCGCGGTTGACGTGCTGTCGCTCGTCCGCCCGCCGCCTGTTCGTCAGCCGTGTCTACACGCAGAGCATTGGCCCTGCGTGCTCGCGGTCGTCGTGCGTGTCGTGCTGCACGTCACCGCGCCCTGTACTTACTGTTAGTAAGCCCACTCGCGGTGCCTGGACTCACCTGGTACTCGTCCTCGTCCTCGCCCTCGCCCTCGCCCGTCCGCTCGTCCTCTACGCCCGCCGTCCATTCGTCGTCCACGCCCAGTGCATCGCTTCGTGGCTGCGTCCAGGCCCGCGGTGTTCGTCGGTTGCGTTTGCGCGCAGGGCCCTTGCCATAGGAGTTCGCCGCGCGCGCGCATGCGCAGTGTTGCGGTGCCTGAGGCCGTGCACGAATCGACCTGGTAGAGGGAGAGGGAGCAGAGGCATCCCCGCGAGTTTGGGCGCTCGCGGGGTTGCCTCTTTTGGCAATACCCACACGGCTGCAGGGCGGGTATGCGGGTACGGAAATCGCTACCCGGACCCCTACCCGCGAGTACCCGTACCCGTGACCCGCGCGGGTTGGCCGTACCCCTGCAATGCACTATGCATGTGTGTTCCGAGGGCTTACGTTGCAGAGCCTTCGGGATGTTGCCTAGGGTCATATACACCGGGTAAGCCAATTTGTTGCCTGTGAACTGTGTGAGCTGAGTCTTATCCGTCGAGATGATGACCGGGGCCAACGCTGCGCCAGTAGGTAGGAGACTCTGCGCCCAAGGCAACGTTAGTCATAGTCTTTGAGTAATCAATACAATACTCACCTGTACGGCGTGCCACCACTTCCCGGTCCACATCTCTGAATATATGCGGTTCTTCTTCGTCTCGTCCGAGAACATCCAGCTCGGTCGATAGACGATGTGGTCGGCATGAGCCGGATTGCCCAGCAAAGCCTTGATGGCTTCAATAATGCAGCGAAATTGCAGAAGGTGGTGTTCGCCAGGTCGATCCTTGAACGAAAGCCAATGTTCCTTCCACCGCGCACGCTCCGGTAGGGAGTCAACCTTTTGCAAGAGTGCTCTTGTGTTATGATACGAGAGCCCTAGCTTCTCCTTGACCTGTATATTTTGTCAGACTCTTCAAGTTGAGCCCACAAACGCACACTAGTGCATTGCAGGGGTTCGGTCAACCCGCAGGGGTCAGGGGTAGGGGTACACGAGGGTAGGGGTAGGGGTTGCCATATCCAGTACACCCATACCCGCCAGTTACCCCTTATGGAAAGCGGCGCGGCGAGCCACCGGGGACTCACCACCAGCTCAGATTTGAATCTCGGGTTCTTACTTTATGTGGCAAGCCAAGCCTGGGCTCGCTAGAATAAAATATACATTTACCCAAACAAGCATGCTCTCGTAAGCCTAAGTAACAATCAGCAACCGTAGTCACCCTGCAGCTCCTCCCACTCCAAGTCTCCCCTCTCCGAAATCCACCTACCCACCATGTCTGGAAGTCGTGTCAGTCACAGGCCGAAGGTCCCTACAGAGAAGCGAAGAGCAGCTGAGTCACCACCACGAGATGCGAAGACATCAAAGAAATCACGCACCGAGAATCATGCTGACACTCAGTCAAGCACGAGTGGCAGTAGCCACAAAGCCCTCACAGGCCCTCGGCCTTCAACAGCCAGTACAGGAGCTTCGGCATCGAGCACGAAGGTCTCGGCAGCGAGCAAGAAGGTCTCGGCAGCAAGCACAAAGGCATCGACAGCGAGCAAGAAAGCATCAACGGCGAGCACGAAGGCATCAACGGCGAATGCGAAGGCGTCGACAGCGAGCACGAAGCCCTCAGTGAGGCAGCGCCATCAGGAAAAACCCACTTGGCTTGGCAAGATTGGGTGAAGCTTTACAAGATAAGTTGAACATATATGAGGCCATGTAAGATCTATCTTACTTGGGCATGTACAACTCCAGCTTGCTGCACTTGTAAAAGCCTTGTAGACTTGAATAAATGTAGATTAATGTCTGTGGTGCCTGTTCAAAAGACGTTGTAATTTCTTGTCATCCCAAGAATACTTTCCAAGAGACTTCATTTGTATTCAAAGCTTCAATACAAGCTGTTGCTCATTGTTCTCAGTTCTGCATTGAAGTGACATGACAACAATGACACAATTGTATTCATTGAACTGTAGTATATTACTTTGCAATTGTATCTACTGTATGCTCTGAATCGTAGTACTAGGGAGTGTACATTCACCTATATAATGGAGAACATGCATAGGAACATGCGTAACAAGGTAGGAGACAATGCACAAATGGAAATGAGAACAAGAAGATCAATGCAAGAGCGGAGCGACAAAGAAGAGAAACGCGCCACGAACCGGATGTGCCACCAAGGCCACCGTGCGTTGACGAGGTCCTATGCGATAGCACGGTGTCCGATATAATGAGCAACGACGGGCGCACGACGATCCTACCACACGCACGGCGTCGGGTGGGCGTACCAGTCCTAGCCCTTCGCCTTCTGCGTCCCCGAGGCGCGGTCATCGGATATAAAGGGCGAGCCCTCGACCGGCCCGTTTGCTTCAGCATCGGCGGCGAGGGACTCTTGCTCAATGACGTGGGGCGTCCCGTGGGTGCTGTGCGAGGCGATGCGGATGTTTGCGTCGACGAAACCCGGTGGCGTCGACGGCGATGCGTACGATGCGGGGCTCGTCTAAGTCGAGTACGACTGTTCAGGCGTGTCGGGCGTGTCGGGGCTCGTGGGCGGACTTGGGTACGCCGTGCTGGCGTCGACGGGCATGGGGTGGGCTTCGGTGGCGACGTCGACGGACGCGCGGCAAAGCTTGGCGTGGTGGTCGACGTGGCGCCGTATGACGTCGTCGACAGTACTGGTGTCGGCGCAGGCAAGGGGAGCACGTACGTTGGGTATGGCCCGTGGCCCTTGAAGTCCCTCCGCACCTTCGCCTCGAACTCCTTCAACGCTGCAGGCTCGATGTTGAGCTGCCACTCGAGGTAAGAGCACATCTCTCGCTCCATTTGGTTGATCTCGCGGAGGGCGAACATGCCCTGGCCAACGATGCTCCACGACTTGTTCGAGTATGTGTCGTTGCAGATGACCTTGGACGCACGCGATCATGAAGGCGGAGATGAATAGACGGTGGTTCCCCGCCGCCCGTGTGAAGTCGCGTTCTATGGAGGGCGTAGGCGAGAAACAACGCAAGAGGCGGTGACGGTGCTGGCGGATTGGCGGTGGATAATGGAGGGAGGTCCGGGCACGCTAACAAATGCGTCACGAACCTCGCACAGAGCTTCGCAGTCTCTTTGTGTCCGTAGTACGGGTCAGGCTGGAGGAGTACGTTAGTGTACAGTAGGCTTGCTACTTCAGAGGTGAACGCACGATGCCATGATGTGCACTATGCCCGCTACTTCCACTCGATGGCGCTGGCGGCGGTCTTGAGGAAGTTATCTTGTTCGCTCTCCGGAAAGGCGAAGGATGGCGGGCGGTAGACGGACCCTGGACAGCAGCCATGTTGGTATGGTAGTCAAGCGTCGAGACGGAGCCACAGACAAGCGCGGTGGCGGTGGGCGACAAATGGTGGCGGCGGAGGGAGACTGGAGGGGACATAAGTCGGCACACTTGGCGTATAGCGACACAGAAGCCTCGGAAGGGGTTAAGCAAGCGAGCGTGCGTCAGCGCCGTGCATTGGCATACCCGTACCGTATACACTTTCTGCACCAGTGAAGGCGATGGGCAAGTGGGCACGTGGATCAGTGAACAATCGCATGGGTGGCTGGCCGGCTGAGAGGGTGCACGGAAGCGGGACAAGAGGGGCGCATGCGAGGCACGCGAGAGGGGCCATGGGTGAGGGTGTATGATCGTGTGAGTGGGCAAGAGGGCAGGTAGGCCCGCAGAAAAGCGGCCAGCCGGCCAGCAAGCGAGAGGGCAACGGCAAGCGGGCGGGAATACGAGGCCGGGCTGGCGGGTGAGCAGCGTGGGTGGGCTGGCAAGTGAGTGGATGTGTGGACGAGGAAGCGAGCAAGTGGATGCGCAGATGGACGAGCTGGCGAACACACGATCAGGCGGAGGCACAAGTGGGCGGACGGGCAAGATAGATGGAGAGTAGCTGAGCAGGGAGACGTACATAGGCGGCCAGACTGGAAAGTGAGCAGACGGTCGAGTGGGCAGGCGGTCGAGTGAGCAGGCGGTCAAGTGAGTATGATGGAATGCGAGCTGTTGCATAGCACAGACAAAAGCACTATGCTGAGCGATAGCGCACTGACGAAAAGGATGTGGGTCAATATTTCCAACAAGGATGTCCCTGGGTGCATACGTACGATCCCTTAGAACTCAGCTGCTCTGAGGATGTGAGCACTGGGAAAGTCAGAAGCGAGCGTCTATGACTTGCATCCGCGCCGCAAATCGCAGTCTCGCGCGGCGTCCGCTTTCTCGCCCATCCGCTTTCTCGTACGTCTGTTCACTGCTTTCTCGCACTTCTGTTCAGTGCATGCTCAAAGTTCTCTCCTTCTCTGCTAGCTCTTTCGCCCGCCTACATCTTACCGTATGCGCATTGCCGTCTGCCGGCCAACTCGCGCGAGTGGTACAAGGCCACTTCCTCCTTCTCCTTCCTCCCTGGGCCGTCATGCATGCTCCCGCGGTCCGATTTCTGCCCTGGGAGGTCCTTCTCTAACGTTTGGTACGTTGATTTGGAATCTTGCAGCTCTAGCGAGACTTAAACACGACTGCACAGGCTCGGACTCGCATGATGTGAAGGCAGTGAATGCAAGTCCACCGATAGGACCTCACAGAATGCGAGGAATGCAGAGCAAAGGAGGCGGTAGGGAGGTGAGTACTTAGAAGGATGCAAGAGAAAGACGATGGGACATGGAATGGAAGGGCACGATGCGACGATGCAAGTACGGAGTGTGAGCACAGAAGCCCAGGTTCGCCCTCGATCTTACCTCCGCCTCACCACCGTTGTCGCTAGTGCCTGCGCCAGTATGCGTATCGATGCGCGATGCTTGCCACGAAGATAGCGGCCACGCTGCCGCTCCAGGGCTGGGTCAGCTCCGCCATCCAGAAGGAGCTGCCCTGGGACGGTGACGATGATAGTTGCGTATGGTCCCTCGCAGGTGAGCTTCACCCGGCGTGCATCATTGCATGTGCTGACTCACCGCAGCGGGCTTCAGCACCTCCTGCCCCACGGTGAACCCCCAACCTGCCCATGCAGACCTTCCCCTTGCGCCCGTGATCGGCCAGAACGCCAGCGTGTTGTACAACAGCACTGGCGGGCGCGCCCGTCTCCGCCGACGGGAGACGTGGATGGCATGGTGACACAACATGAACACGACGTTCACCACGATCCTCTCGGACAGCGGCGTTACGACCGTGTTGGACGGCCTGCGCGGAATGGTCTTCGCGGGCCCGCCGCGTGAACACGTTGGGTTCGGGGAGTCTGCGGTGAGTCTGCGGTGATCACAAAACGGATGGTGGAGCAGTGCATCGACCGTAGCACAGTGAGTACCATGGCTTGGCTTGAAGTACAGTAATTGCATATCTATTTGAGACCTCATTTGTACGTATAGTAGACTTGTGAAATGGATGATAATGGAAACAACAGACTCCGGTGTGAAGCTCATACTCAGAAGCTGTGTGACTAGTACTGGTATGTCTGTATGTCTGTACATCTACCAGTATGTCTACGTCTACCATAATGTCTGGTAAGCATATTTGGTACCCCAGTTGTTCAAGAGGAACTTCGTTGCCTTGTCCAGTACAGTATTCGACGTCCAGTCTTGTGGTACTTGAGCAGGTAAATCTACGGACAAGGGCTTAGGGAATTTGGGAATCAGCTGACACGACTGACGAATCAGTCTTAATGGTACTATCTCCCCGGCTGTGGTCCCATCCACTCTCAACGGCATCTTCTGGACGTCGTACATCATATGTACAGGGTCTGCCGAGGCCGGGAGCTTTGCGTACCACTCAACGTACGCCAATGGACCTGAGTGAGCCCATTCTTCCGGTGCAGGCATGTCCGCCATCATCCCATGCTGACGTATCTTCTGAGGCAAGCGGAAAATGACCTTCACCCGCCCGATTCTGGTACCTAGATTTTCCCGGTCAGTAGCTTGTAAGTGGGCATATATTCTGAACATACCTTGTAGTCCCGTTGCCTCCGCGTCATCACCCTGTAAGACCACTACGGTATCGAATCTTGCCGCGTCTGTTCCGCACGCCGGTTTGGCTTTGACAGCGTCGCGTTCAGGTTGAGTGTCGGTAAGGGGAATCGTCTGAACTTGAAGTTATGGAAGACGTCCAGACGCGAGAATGGTAGGAACGTGCTTGCCATGTCAAGCTCCTCAGGGTAAGTCGACGGCCGAGTTTGAGCGAGTAGATGTATTGGTTCAAGGCTTTGGTGAACCCGCGAGCGTTGTGTTTGTCGGCGATCGACTGAATCGGTTGCTGGACGACGGACGGATGCTTGGGCATCATAAGGCCGGTTCTGGGACGGTGAGGGTGAGGTTCTGGAGGGATGCGAGAGTCGTCAGAGTTGCCGGAGTCCTCTCGAAGCCTCTGGCGAAGCGTCTCGAACATCGCGACTTTCTCCTGGCGATCCAGCCATTGACCATCTGAGGGCGTGCGTCGCGATGATTGGATGCTCGCCACGCTTTCTTCGCGCAGTCGATGTGCAAGCGTTCGAACATCTCGGTATTATAGTTGTCTGTTGTACCGAGATTTCGAATAGACACGATGTAGTGATGTAATGAATGGAATTTGGGGATGTCTAGGTGCTCACGATACCGAGTGTCTTCAAGATGATTTGTTCTTGTGGTAGGTCTTCAACGTGTCGTCCATGTACAAGAGGGTCGTCTCGTCGTGCGTCGGATACTGCGCTAAGTAGATGAAATCGAGGAGCGCGCGGAAGGTGTGGATGACAGCGTTAGGGACTCGACCTACGAGGCACCCCAGAAGAATGCGGGCCATGTCTTTGCGCTCGCTGCCGGACACCTGCGAGAGCGAGGAAATCCCGTTCTTGAAATGTCGAGTTCCATACGCGGGCGGAAGACATCGGATACGGGCGTCGAGCTCCTTCTCGTCCATAAGTTCGCCGCACCATTCGACGATGTGCTTGAAGACGCCCTGGTAGAGCTGGTGGAGGACGTCGGGGGTGATGCACATGTGGATGTCGGTAAATGGTAGGTCCTTCCAAAACGGCTCAACAACGTAGCCGGAGACATTGAAGTCCTTACACGCATTGAAGAATGGTGAAGATCCCTTCACGCCTTTCGCCTTCGCCTTGCGTAACACGTCCAGTGTCCAGAGCTGGCGTCGGGGGTCCTTGGTGCGTCTTCTCCAAGGCAGACTCGGGACATTGACAGATGCTGCAGGTCCCGTACTTGGCACAAGTGACCAAGCATTGCTCGGGATAATCTGCGACGTACGATGCGAGAACAGGGTGTACTCGGCGAACCTTTCCATCGCCCCGGTAACATCGATTCCTTTTTCCCGGCCTCGATCAACGGCTTGAGGATCATCTTCACTGAGCTATGGAAAAGCTGCTGCACCATAGCGCGGTGCTTGCGCTCAGTGAGGCCAGTTGAGTCCACCTTGTCTACAGACAAGTACCCGATCAGCACACAGGCATGTTCTGAAGGCTTACGTCGCAAGGCCTTCGGAATGTTGCCTAGGGTCATGTACACAGGGTAAGCGGATTTGTTGCCTGAGAATTGGGTGAGTTGTGTTTTATCTGTCGAGATGATCACCGGGGCCAACGCTGCACCAGCCGGTAGGAGACTCTTGCATTCACGGTGACGTTAGTAATTGTCTTTGACTAAGCAGTATGAGACTCACTTGTACGGCGTGCCACCACTTCCCTGTCCACATCTCAGAATAGATGCGGTTCTGCTTCGTTGCATCCGAAAACATCCAACTCGGCCGGTAAACAATGTGGTCGGAGTGAGCTGGATTTCCGAGTAGAGCCTTGATGGCTTCGATGATGCATCTGAACTGCAGCAGATGCCGTTCGCCTGGTCGATCCTTGAACGAAAGCCAGTGCTCCTTCCACCGTGCACGCTCCGGCAGGGAGTCGACCTTTTGCAGAAGGGCTCTCGTGTTATGGTACGAGAGTCCCAGTTTCTCCCTGACCTATATATATTGTCAGACTTTTCGAGTTCAGCTCACTAAATGCAACGCACGCACCGAAGGTATATCCAGAAACCTATCAACAGCACCCTGACTGATACCCTCCTTGATACACCAGGAGGCGATCTCCCAGTCCGTTTCGGATTCGAACGGCTCCCATAGTGATTTAGGAGGGTCGTCCTCGTCTACGGTAAGCAAGTCAGTATTTGTATGACAGCTCATTCGCATTCAGCACTTGCCTGCGCATCTTTGCCTGTCCTTATCTTTCCTCTTTGCAAGATGGTGTCGCCAGGCTTCTTGAACGGTTTGTCCCTCTCCTCTCACCGCCCCAGCTTTCTGATCCACGACCTCGACTCGGGTGTCATCGTCATCATCCAGCGCGATGGCTGTGCGTCGTGCTGGTGCTGACGAGGACTCTGCAGTTCTTGCAGTGCGACTCGGCCCGGCGGTAGGCACAAAGATGAGGTCTTGTGCTTCGTCTTCGTCCTCGTATTCGCCCTCATCCTCGGTCTGGTCCTGGCTCAGATCTTCTCGCTCGAACGCCGCGTCGGAGCGGACGTATGATGGTCCGGCAGCAGTCTCGTTATAGTGTTCGTCCCATAGTTCGTCGGTGCCGTCACAATTGCAGTCCGTTGGTGCGTCGTCCCGAGCTATACCACTTGATGTGCTTGCTGCCGGAGCAGGTGAGCGCGTATACCTTTTGTAAGATCAGTAGCACTTCTACGAGGTAAAATTAAAATATGTACTCACCTGCGGTCAGCATGCGCCTTCCTAGTGCTTGTTGCACCGCGGTTCCTCTTGTTGTCCACCACCACTTCATTCTCGCTGCTAGAGTCCTCCGAATCCACGAAGATTTCCCGCAGCTTTCCTTTCTTGTACCAGCGACATTGGCGGCTGGTTGACTGGTGAGCCATTAAGCCTTGCGTGGTGTCGAAGTATCCATAACACGCCTCGCAGGTCTGTGCGAACAGGTCTTCCAAACCGCGCGATTTCTTCGGCATGTTCTACTCTTCTTGGTAAGCTTCTACATGCACAGTAAATCCGCGTCCAAAGAAACAGAAATTCCACGAACACTCACCCGTATTCGCAGCGAGCAGCGAGGGCTCTGGGATGGTGGTGATGGTGAGTTTTTGCGTTCAGAATGGTGGCGTAATTCGCAAGCACCTCTGCGGCGTTTAAACGCCAAGGTGCCTTTCTTACGTCTTGTCCAGCGTCGGCCGTGCTTGCTTTCAAGCGCTACTTGGATCAGCAAGTCTTGTTGTATCTCTATCACAGCTAGTGCGTCTGTCTCTCCAGATAATCGTGTTCAACACTTTACCTTCGTTTGTCATGCCCTTACTTCGCTCACCGTTCGTTTGTTTACATATTCACAGAGGTGCCTGGTCGTACGCAATCTCTTATTCGCCCCCACGCTTCTGCCAACAGCCCTACCTGAGTTCTGGTGAGCGCATTGAACGGCTTTCAAGAAAGCCCTCGTGTTACCTACGACGAGCAAGGATATTAGTGAGTACCTACATTGCTCTGGTCAGGTCTGAGATGCCGTTCTGTATTCTGTAGCCGAGTGAGTGCGGCGAGGCCGCACTCATCCAAATAAGGAAACTATCCGCCCAATTGTCAGCATGAACACGGTGAAGTGTTCAATGGCAACGGGATGCGGGATGCGATATGCGGTACACCTTATGCGGTGTGCCGATGGTGGAAAATACGAACCGTCCGTCATCACATCCTCCTAAGCTTGTGCGCACGGATCCTATCTTCGTGAGGGAAGAAGGACGCCTCGGCAGCATTGTGCTGTCCCAATCACACAGGTCGTATTGTTGCATGTGGGTTCGATAGATCGTTATTGGACGATAAGATCGTGAGTGCCGCTGTTTCCCAGTGCCCGCATTCTGCAGCAGACTGGGGCCCCTAGACCTTGGTGGCTGGCTTCTAGTGGCGCCGGTGGCGGTCACTTGGGCCCTCAATCATTATCTTATGTATGCGGTACTTCTTTCAGTCGGATCTACCTCAGGCACCAAACCGTATCCCGTTTCCCTCATGTCCTCGATACGTTACGTTCACGGGCGCGATCCGCACATCGTCGCCGACCCCGGCTCGGACGACAGACACGTCATTGACTACGCTCACCACTACAGGCTATCGTCTAAGGACACCCCTACAATTTCCGACCTTTGGGAGGGGGATACTGAAGGTAAGCACATCGCATCGCATCACACACAGAAGCAATCTCACCTCGAGCACCTCAGGCGCATCGCTCTCTCCCCCATCCTCTGCCAGTGGTCCAACGTTCTCCCCCGAGCCCGGGGAGAAAGGGCTCTACGAAGATATTGCAGAGCTGGGCAACACGATCAAGCAGTGGCACCTCGCCGACAAGATCTTCGGAGCGCTGCTCGAAAAAGACGGTTTCCCTTGGCTCTTCAACACCATCATTAGCCACGACAACATCACTATCCAGGACTGGCAGGAAACAAGAGCATTCCTTGAAGACCATACACTACTCCTACGTTACCTATCGTGCGTAACAGGCGCCTTATGACACCACTGTACACGCTGATATTTTTCCGAAAGTTTTGCTTACGACCCCGCCATGCGCAAACTGGACGTATTCGGGCCATCGAACCTACATCAGGTAGTCACCAATTCGATGACCAAAGCAGTCTCATCCACAGTCCAGCCATCATCGGCCCAAGTTGTTCTCATGGACGGCGCGCGAGCACTCATCAACGATAACGTCGGATACATCCCTGACGCCGTGATGACAATCGGCGTGACAAAGAAACTGTCGACAAACGATCCAATCAACGTCACTCTTGACACGTTTGTGACTGAGACATCGTACACCCAGACCCTCAAGAAGATGCTCAAGAAAGTAAGTAAACCTTTGTATTTGATCGGTTGTTGACTCACTATTCACAGCTCCTTATTGCAATGGTGAAACAGGGCGAGGGTCCGCTCCTCTTCACCGGTATCAACATCGATGAACTCGACTACATCGATCCAACCAAAGACAATTCAAAGCCGGACGACAAAGGCTTTGTAGCTGGAGGCGGCGAGGAGAACGACGTACTGTGCACCGGCTGGAAGCGAGGAGATGAAGTGCTTGTCGGTAGGCTCAAAGGCCAATGGTTTGTCTTCATCCCAGAAGATCGCGACGGATTGCAAGAAGCCCTCGATACGTACACTGTGATTGACGACTGGATGAAGTGGTTCTATTGTGTGGTACGTAACTGTCGTCTTTACCTACATTCCGTTCGATTGGCGCTAACCTCACTCAGCCCATCCAGCATGAATACCCGGAGGGCTCAGACGTCGCTGCAGTGCGCGATGCCGTCGTCAAGAAATATCGAGGGGCTATCCGCAACATTCGCGAAGAGGCGCACAACCAACGCTTGCACGCTCTACTCCTCGAGGCGATCAAGAAGCGGAAGGCAGACCTCGTGGCCAGCCTGCGGCGGCAGCTCCTCGAAACACCGGACTTCTTCGACCCTCCCATACCGGATCCCATCCCTTCGTTCGTCAACGACATCTGGGGCGGCGCGCGCCATATGGTGGAGGACATCTTTAACGGGCGTGGTTACCGGGCCAACGACAGCAACTCGAATGCGCCCAGAGGTGCCGCCAAGCGAGCAGCTCTCCTCGAAGTAGCAGATAGCCTGAAGCGACAACTCGAGGAAGATGAGAAGGCAGGCGACGCCGAGATCATCGACAGCTTCTGCAAGAAGCAGCGCATGAACACGCCGCCGCCGCCTGTCCACTTGCAGGAAGGCGCGTCGCAGGAGACCCTAATCGGAGACAAGGGGCACAGTGACGATTCTGCCAACAGCTCTTTTGACTCGCAGGGCAGCGGGGAATCTGCCGGCAGCGCGTTCGATCTCAACCTGGCCTTGGCCGACTTCCGCTCGCTGGCCACCTCCCGTGAGACGAGGAGCGACACTAGGGGAGCGTCGAGGGGAGCGTCGAGGGGAACGTCGAGGGGAGCGTCGAGGGAACGTCAAGGGAACGTCGAGGGGAGCATCGAGGGGAACATCGGTGAATAGGCATCAGTGAGTGAATGTGGCTGCGTAGTGGCAGTGTAGTGGCGGCGTAGTTTACAGTTGGTAGCATCTCGTCTTCGTTGTTCTTCGACCATCGCTTTCATGTCGTTTTCGTATTGCTTTCTTGTAGCGCCTGTGAAATACATCATTCATGACATATCGCCGGGGTCGTGTGAGCAAACATAAGTGAGAATAATAAGTCTTGGGCGCCTTCACGTCTAGTGATGCTAGTCTAATGCTAAGTACATACCTTCCTACTACCACCAGTAGTCTGTAAAGCACCTCTCATCAGTACTGTCTTACTCGCACGTCATGATCGCACCGTTTTCTCTCACTGAAGATGAACAGCAGAGCTTGATTGCGCTGCTCGAAGCAACGCCCAATCCCACGCAAGTCTTGTCATACTTGCTGGCTCGGTTACAAGGGAACCAGGACGTTCCCAAGAATGACTCGAGTCGGTCAGGTACGAGTAACTCCTACATACTAAGTTCCAAGCAATACTGATATCATTTGTGATGTACCACAGGTACTCTAGAATCAGTGCAGAGCATGGAGAACGTGCTCTCAACTTCTAACGGGTCCTCTCTGTCGGAACGGCGTCAGACACGGTCTCAAACTCGACAGCGAGCCACGAACGATACACAGCAGGTAGATACTACCAACAATCAACAACGTAAGCTGCGCTTGATTGGTATGTGCTGGTCTGACACTGACGTGACTCCTTCAAGAAGGGAGGCATCCTGTCGACGTTGCATTGGGCCCCAGCACAGTTGGGCCCACCAGGACAACACGATCGCGGCAACGAAAGCAACCGTATGCGCACGAAGAAGGAGACCCTGCTGGACGAGGGCAATCTTCTCATCGGCGTAATGTCCTGCGACGGCGGTCCCGCTCGCCATGCTGGAGAGGAGGATTGCCATTCTGCCATCGAGCAGGTGTCGCTGCCTCCAATATAGCATGGGAATCCGATCAGCTAGCGGTGCCATCACAATCGTCAAAAGCCAGCGTACACAAGTTCTTTTCCAACCTAACTAACAATCTCACAGATCAAGCGTTTGTGAAATGTTGTAAGTCCGTGCAAGAAGGCACGTTCGGTTGGCTGCCGGGTCAGCGGTCCTGTTGCACAGCAAATGAGCCAGTGAGGACGCTTGCTACACAATGCGCTACAGCGCTGAACGACGAAGCAACATCTGACTTCGTGATCATGCTGAGGCTCATCCAGCTAGCGTGCCGTTGTAGCAAGTACGTACTTATTATCTCACAGTCGTTCATGAGCTTACAACCAGGTCTGACAACATCAAGTTTGCGACAATCTGAACCTGGTCTTACCAACACCAACATCTGGCACACCGAGCTGGAAACAACGACCACTGTCGCGAAGAGAACCTTCTTGGATTGGGTTGCTACTGGCAACAAATTTGCGTTCGTCGCGGGAGGAGGTAAGCCTTGTAAAACGTCTTTGATGAGTGCTGAACAATGACATTTGTCCAGGCTCAGTGTATATACTGATTTTGATTGCCGTCCAGAACGTCAGGGTACCATTGGCTGGCGCCGATGGTCATACTGCCCAAGACATAGGCAATATGCTGCGTTGGCCTGACGGTATGTTTCAGTATCTTCGTATGAATGGCAACTTTTCACTAACCTAACATACAGACTCACGCTCTGGACGTCTGGTGAAGGAGACGATTGTCCCTACAATAGCCAGCCTTCAAAATCACTACCCGTCAATGCTGGAGGATTTATTTCCAGTGTCAGCAACAACAATCAACAGGTACGGGCTTAGAACTTCGCTTGAGCTCAGCGATTGTTTTTTTGACAAGCTCAAATACAAGTACGTACTATACAAGTTGGCCCTATAGAAGTTGAATATCTTATACTCACAACGTCTCTACAGCACTTTCAGCCTCGTCCCAAGGTTGAAAAGCGCTTGGGAGTCTTGCTATCAAGACTCTCTTGTTACAACAACATCGGCGACACCAGACGTGCGAGGCGCAGATGAATTGCTGGAGGAACCACCAATACTATCACCGCTCTCACCGCTCTCCTCGCTGTCGTCGCTTTCTCCACTCTTATCGCCAACGCCCGTGCTGGCGACGATGAACTCCGAGCTGGTCATTGTCACATCCTACGACCCTCAGAACGAGAACAACAGACGATATCCCGGCCCCCGTGACCCCCGTGACAAGGAGGAGAAATCACCTGGACTGAGAACGCGCGCTCGCAGGCTAGCAAAGCAAGTGCGCCGGTCAATATTCAAGATCTAGAGAACCAGGTAAATTAAAAAACATACATATCACATTGACAATCATGATGCTGATAGTATTGTTTGACCTTAGCTTCGAACATTGTACGCTGGCGGGGAGAAATGCAATTCGGCATCATATGTGCGAGTGCCTGTGAGCACCATACCGTATGTAACGTCACTCTCCAGTTTCTTGTGTACCCACTCAACCTTCCGTCTTTGGTCTTCGTGTGCAGGGACGTCCTTACCATCAGAGGGGCGCAGAACAGCTTGATTGCCACCATCTGCACATCCATGCCTGACGCCATCAAATGCAACTTGATGGATCGTCTCATCGCCAGCTTCGATTCCAATCCTTTCAAGAAAGTAGACGTCGGTTCGGCCACCAGTGACAGTACATTCGAGGCCATACATTTTTCGTGGTACAATCGCCACTGTACTCAGGTACGTACCGCAGAAGTTGACCTATCAATAGCACTGTGCTCACTACAGCGTCTCACTGCAGGGACATTCTGCGCCGAACGATATACCTCCATCACTGCTCCGCAGAGCGAATTGCACTCGCACGAATCACCGTCAATTTATACCGTATGTGTCGAAGGACATGGAAGACCACCAGGCGATCTACCAAGCGCTCAAAAATGCATTCGCCGATATGTTTAGCTGGATAGACGACAAAGTGAGTTGACTGTCAATGAATCAATTCGTTCTGGTGCCTAACATGTAAGTTTCTAGTTTCAGTCAGTCCTGCCGATGGAATACGAGCGACTGGAAGCTACCGCCGCTATCCTTCCCGGTAACAATGTCTCAGCGGTCAGCCCGTTTGCCGCCCTCGTCGTCAACCTCAATGTGGTCACCCGAGCCCATCGAGACCGCCAAGACGACGGCGTATGCCTTGTCTTGCCGATTGGAGAATTTGAAGGTGGTGAGTTGTGTCTGGTGGAGGCCGGCCTTGTCATACCGCTTCGAAATGGCGATTTTGCTGTTTTCCCCTCATGCAAACTCACTCACTTTAACCTACACTATACGGGATCTCGTGCTTCCATCGTTTTACACACAGACAAGGAAATGTCCAAGTGGACCGCAGAGGATCGTAACGGCTGGGCTTCTAATAGTCATTTCAGATAAGAATGTGTCTTATCATTGTAGTCATTGTAGTACCACTAATTACACCCTTATAACGACACGTACTACGGCGCTTTAGATTTTTGAACGGTCAGTAAATCTACTACTAACGTCATGTGCCATAGGATTCGGAGCACGCTCGGAGGAACCAACGGTGTTGTAAGACTTCTAGAACCTTGGTCAACCTCGAGCCGCATGGACCAGGCATGAGGTATGGATCATCTCTCATTGGCAGCTTGGCGTATCACTACTGCCGACAGAAGGCTTCCCAACTCTCACCCAGCGGCGAGTCGGACGTCAAGGCCGCTCACACGGCGAGTCGGACTTCAAGGCCGCTCACACGGCGTGCTGTCTGATGCTGTCTGATGTAAGTGTCTGCTCGCCAACATTTACCGCACCCTTGCTCCCGGCGAACATCCTGCTCCTTGCGCACATAGTAACCCGCTGTCCGACATGGCAACTCGCCACTCTTCACGCAACGCCGCACGACAGTCGGCCAGCCAGCCGACGACGAAGCCCAAGGGCGGTAAGACCGCTGTGAAATCCGCCGAGTCAGCCTCCAAAAAATCAACTGCCCGGAAAGCCGCACCGCAGGCCACCACGGGTTCCAAGCGCGGCAGGCAGGAGACACCAGAGCAAGATGGCAAGGGCTCTCTGCCGGACGTCCTGTCGCCATCCGAGAAGAGGCAGTACGACCGCCTGAAGGCGAAGATGGAGCTCGCAGCGAAGCGGGCGGCAGCAGACAGAAGGACGAGTGAGTGCATAATTTCTTTTGGGTATAATTAGTGAAGTGAGCGCCCAAATGCTTCGATGGTAGACACGCAGAAGATGAGCACGGCCATCGTGCTCGCAGAGAATGCGTCGGGCGGAGAGGGCGAGGACGAGGACGAGGACGAAGACGAGGATGAGGACGCCGAGCAACCTCGACGCAAGAGGCCGAAGAAGAACGTGGAGGTCCACAGCAGCGGGGACGAAGATGAGGACCAGCTTATCGAGGAGGAAGTGGAAGAAGGACAGAAGCCAGATGCGCAGACGGTGGTAGAGGCTCCTCCGCGCGGTGAGTTCTGTGCCATTCAACGTGTCTTGCTACTAACGCAGATCGGCTGACAGTGAGACCCAAACCGAAGCCTGCGTTTGGGAAGACCAGAGCCCAGCAAAGTAATGTTCTCGAGAGTGAGGAAGGCGACGCCACAAGAGGCTCAACTCAGCCGTTGCTCGACCAAGACGAGCTCAATATTGCGAAGGCTATCGGTACGTCAATCTACTCTTGGCCCATACTAGTTTGATAATCTACTTTGTAGGTGTTGGATCGCCCGCTACACAGGAAAAGGAGACTACCGGGGCCAAGCGTACGCGGAACGCTCGTGATGACAGCGGGTTGGATGACGATGAACCACATCGTACTGTTCCCGCACGGCCTCCTAAGAAGGTCTTGCGCATGGATGCCGTGGTTATTGATTCGCCTCCGAAAAGGGCAAAAGTCAAGGTTAGTGACCACGCCAGCTTTTAATATTCTGAACAGTAAACATAGGATTTACGGTGAAGGTGTCCGTGGTCGACAAGTCGAAGGGGAAAGACAAGGGCAAGGTGGTAGAAAGAAAGAAGAAGAGGAAGCATAGCGACTGGTTGGAGAGTGAGAACGATACGGAGAACGATTCGGAGAACGACGCGGAGGCGGACGAGGAGGTAGACGATGAGTCGGAGTCGAGCACCGAGAGTGATGATGAGGGTTCGCAGGCATCGAAAGACAGCGATGACGAGTCCGTGGAGGACAGTGAAGATGATGTGATTGTGAGTGAATTATCTTGTGTCCGCTGACTTGATCTTGAGCACACGAGTTGCAGGTTGTCAAGGGGCCGAAGAGCAAGAGCCAGCGTTCCACGGGAAAGGCAGGTGGAGGCAGTCGCCGTCGCCGCAGTGCGGATGGATCAAGTCTGAAGGTCGTCATCGGCGCGCACAGACCAGGGACCTTCCGGAGAGCCTCAGGCCGATTGTGACATGTGCGCAGATGTACTTACGCCTCCGCCTCTCCCTCGACCACGCGTGGACCTCCGAGAAGATGCAGAACAGCAGTCAGCTGCCCCACAAGCACGTCGTCATCAAGAGAGCCTTGAGAGACGCTCGCCACCATCGTGCGGAGGACGGCAAGAAGATTGATTACCTTGTGAGTGGGTTCAAGACGTTGCGAAAGAAAAGGAACCACGTCCTCCGCGACAACGTTGCCAGCCTCGTAAGTTCCGTTTTCTATCACATTGTGCAAGCTGAGTCTCTCGTGGCAGGTATGGACAGGCGCGTCTCAGCTCAGGAACGAGGTCAAGAAGAAGGCGAAGATCGTGGTCGACAGTGCCTACGGCCTGGGCGGCCTCTCGACCCAGCGCAAAGTCGCGGCTGCAATGTTCCTCCTCAAATCCAACGTGCACCGCAAGTTTTCGATGCCTAACTTCATCTTCGGAGACATCGACATTGCTTGGCAGGCGGACGTTCCTTACGAGGTCGACGTGAAGGTGAGTAGAGCTACAATCTGTGCATCAGAGGGCTAGTTGACTTGCTCTGCGTAACCCAACCCAGGCGAGTGTCGTCAATCGCAAGAAGCCCTTCCACCACAGGGCCATCTCGGATCTCATCGCGCAGCACTGGTTCCACGGACACAGAGACACGGCCTCTGTTATGGCTTATGACCGGTTCAGCGAGGTTCCCAGCAACCTCATCGCTCTTGTCTGCAACGCGGTAAGCAGGAATCGATCATATGTAGTGTAGTGTAGTGTGCTGTGTTGGTAGTGTACTGTACTGTGTTCCGATAGATACTGATCTATATTACTATAGATCGAGGCCGCATTGGTGGACATAGCATCTGGAACTCACCACTTCACAAACAAGATGTACGCACCGAAGTAAGTCTTCTCTTTGTTTGGTAGTGCTTATTGCTGACACATACATAGGTGGAGCAACATCATGGGCATTCTTGATCAGTTCGAACACAACGCGTTAGATGCTTACCAGTCATTGAAGGCGATGATCTGGACCAACGTCAGGCAAGTAGTACCCTGGCTGTTTCACTAAATTACAACTAACTGTTGGTCTCAGTGTTCTCGTCGACGAACATAAGGCCCTGAAGTCGAAGGACCAGGAAGATGACGAAGGCGGTGGTAGCGAAGGTGGCGATGAGTTCATCGCCTGGAGTGAGGTCGAGATCGTAGATGCCACCAGTGCCAGTACGAAGCAGGCGCCTCGACGCACTCAGTCTGGCGAGCCGTCGTCTTCGAAGCCGTCGTCTTCGAAGCCATCGTCGTCTAAGCCGCCGTCGTCTAAGCCGCCTCCGCCGTCAAAGCCGCCGTCGTCAAAGCCGTCGCCGTCAAAGCCGTCGCCGTCAAAGCCGTCGCCGTCAAAGCCGTCGTCGTCAAAGCCGTCGTCGTCAAAGCCGTCGGCGTCATCGACGCAGCGTGGAGGTCAGTCTACATCTTCATTGTAAAGTAAGGGGATTAACACCAAGAGGTGTAGCAGATGAGGACCAGAATGTGTCAGATCGCGAAGACGGACAGGGCGGTGGTCATAGTGATGGTAAATAATTTATTCACTGTCCTTTGGCTGTACTGAACAAGGTATGTCTTGTTGCAGAAGCTTGACACTGGACATAGGTCTACGCTAAGCCAGTTCTCAGTGAGCATTACCTTACAATCCTACATCAAATGCTAATCAGTGTACAGATTCCAGAATATCCTCTGCAACATTGCGCTGTTAATGGGTGTTTCTAGGGCGGCGTTTCACAGGCATTGGTGGGCTGGAATGTGAACTGACTATTGATGAGCTGTATGTAATATTGTACATCACTGTAAGGCTATGGACGAATACGAATACGCTGTAGTATGAGGTCCGAATGAAAGCTATTATTTTAGAGACATTCAAGAATTTGGGTAGTTTGATCAAGACGCCAAAGCACTATTATGCTTGAGAGAACTAAAATGAATATATAAGCCTGTCAAGACTTGAGAAACTGAGATGCAATTATATGCTGGAAAAGCAAATGCTGTATTGAATTGAAGCACTAGGATGCTTTGTCATGTACTTCAAGCATATGACTTGTCTTGTAAAGTAAGATACACATTTCAAGCCTTGAAGGGCTTTTCTTACTTGGCAAGACAAGGGAGTTTTTCCTGATGAACGCGATGGTGAACGCGGAGACAAAGGAAGAAGAGCGCCGGCGATCACGAACTTAGCAGCCACACTGCAGCCACACGGCGCACGTGACTCCGGTTATGCCGCGGGAGCGCTAATGGGCGATCAACTTGGTGATCGCTCGCCACACCTCTTCCTCCTGACCACTTGCGTATCCTCAACCCATCGTATCAACAATGGCCAAGCAAGGTATGTCCCCGGCCCAATCGCCGGGGCCTACCACTCATAACCCTTCTTCCAGCCTCTCGCAAGAAAACCGGCGGCCGTGACGTGTCAACTCGTCGGCAGGGATCGCGTGGCGGCCGGAACGCCCGCCAAGCATCGAGAAGCCCAATCGGGCTTGATGATGAGGTACGTACCGCCGTGATCTGCTCATCACGCTCCCGTTGACGCATCCTCGGTAGCCGATTCACCCTGCGCCGGGTCCCAATGTTCACGGAGCTAATACGGGTGCCGGTCACAGTGGCGGGCAGGCTGTCCCGGCCGACTATTCAGCATTCCGAAGGACGAGCCCGGCCGACTCTTCAACATTCCCAAGGAAGAGCCCGGCCGACTTTTCAATATTCCGAAGGAAGAACCTGCAGATGCGATTCTGGTATGTGGACTCATGCCGAGTAATTGAGCAATACTAACCTCCGCTACCTACCAGCCAATTGCCACCCACGCAGCATCCGGCCGCAATGTCCACGGACCGAGGACAGATGCCGGTGGCAGTGGGGAACCAATCG